ACTTTACGAAACTTATCATTTTTTATACAGTTAAAATTTAATGATATACAAATCATTTCCCAGCATATAATCATAAATGATATAAAATGCTCCAAGAAGGTAGAAAATGGTTTAAAAAATTTCTTAATGGTTATACTGTAATTTGCAAAATTTTTGAATATTGTGATAATTTTATCTACTTGATCATGTGATATTTTTTGAGCCATTAAATGAAAATGTAATGATTGTATTTAAAGACTACTCTGTAATTTTGAACAGGCCAAATTCATTCTGGAAAACAGTCTTTCGACAGAAGCTGTTGTTGTGGGTAATATTAAACTTAGAGCAAATAACATAATCAGTTTTGGAATTTGTCCTAGATGGTGTTCTTACTTTCTGGGTTTTTAAATCGCGGAAATAAAAATAGCGATGTGTTATTTTTTAATTGCTTGAATATGAATTGCTATGTGTTATTTTTTAATTGCTTGAATACGAATTGCCATGTGTGTTTTTTAAATTGCGTAAATAAAAAACTTGATGCTTGTTTTTCTAATCGCGTGAATGCGAATAGTGTGACTTTTAAATTGCGAAAGGACTACTCACAACACTTGATTTTTAAAATGCATGAATATGAATCGCTATATATGGTTTTTAAAACGCGTGCATATGAATTGCGAGAAAAGTAGCAACGGATGATACTTTAAACGCCAGAACACGAATCGCAATATGTGATTTTAAATCCCGTGAATACGAAACGCGATAGATTATTTTTAAATCTCGTTAATGTTAATACGAAATGCGATTCGCAATTTTCAGATAGCGTAAATACAAATTACGATGTATGACTTTTAAATTACCTGTGACAACAAAAAGAATAGGTTCGATGTGTGTTGTTAAACTTGCATGTGTTCATGGGACTAAAGAATTATGCCGTGTTTTGAATTATTTTTTTTGCAAAATGGACAGCGTTTAATATAAACACATCTCGTTTTTTTTTCTTTCCTGGGAAGGTGTTGATTTGGCTAAGATACGTAATTACTTTTTAAGTTACGAAAAAAAATTAAAACTGAATCGAATTTCACGAGTTGCAATATTGTGTGAAAATATCAGGTATATATTCTAAATCACAAATAAAAATGCAGCAATAACGGGAAAGAAGAAAAAACACGTTCGAAAAACCTCTTAAAAATTCGTGTTAAAATCGGTACAACGCAAATGATAAAATCGGCACAAACAGAGCACGTTAAAAATAATTATTTTAATGCGCGATTCAAAACTCGCTTGCTGTCAAGCCATTATTACCCACCTGTATTAAAAATATCATAATCTTTTATCACGGGGAAAACGTAATAACTACTAAAACAATAACCAAAATACTTTTATATTTCAGATGAAATTGGAGTAAATAAAGTCCATCAAAATTTTATGTAATTTAAATGCGGGATTTGAAATTAAAATGTCGTAATAGCGTATAAAAAATATCGGTACTTTCAAACCTTGTAGAAATGTGTAGCAATAATTTCTAAAATAACGATTGAAAAATAATTTGATTTGCGATAAAATCGTTATAAATAAGCCATGTCAAAAAATGGTTATCTAAATGAGCGATTCTTTACTCGCGATTCGTAATAATATCGTGCTAAAATATCGAAGTTTTAAAAACCGGGCGGAAATGTGCAGCAATAACTGTTGAAGAAAGGATCTAAAGTCATTTTGATTTTCCATGAAGTTTGCACAAATAAAGCGTTTCATAACTTTCAAAAATCGCTATTTCAGAAACTACTTGAAAATGGGTAGCAATAACTACCGAAAAGTCATTGGAATCGGCACATACGAAAAGCGTCAAAAGTGGTAATTAAAATTCGTAAATCGTAATAATGATGTATTAAAAATATTGGGATTTTTAAAACTGTGCTGAAATCCGTAGCATTAACCATCGAAAAACTACATTGTGTAAATTTGAATTACCGAATTATTTTTATTATTCTTCAAAAACAAATATTTAAATTATTTTTTTTCCATTTTGTTCAGATTGCGGCCACACATCGAGGGTTGGTGGGCCGCAGGTTGAGCACCCCTAGGCTATGGTGAAAAATGATCTATACTAATTAGGCAATGTGTAAAACGATCTTGTAAACGATGGGTCTTATCAATTCAATGTTTAAAATGTTTGAACTTCTGCTTTATGTTTTTTAATAAAAAGAAAATGATCGAAGTGTCATGTGTACATACAGTGTTCTCCCTAAGAGTTTTTAGAAGGGCGCCCCGTCTGCCCTTTGATCCCTATAAATGTGTCCTACTTGCTCTTTTTGTATAAATAAACTGAAATTCTTAAAAAACACTGCCTTTTTACTTAAGTTTTCCAGGGAAAGTTTGTTTTCTTAACAACCTGTTTTAGCGAGAAATCCGTTTCTGATTTATTTTATTGATAATTATTTAACGCTAATTTTTAATTTTATTCCTTCATTTTAGTAAGATATTTTTTATGTTGTCTAGTTACATAGCTAAAATTTGCACCAGATTCTGGAGATATTCACATCTTTATTTGGGAGGGAGTATATCAATGAATTTTTTAGTGATTTTAGGTTTTACTGATAATTGTTTTTAAATATTACCTTTTTATTAAAAACTGCACCATTAAATTTTTATTTTTTCATAAATTGCCCCACATTGGCCACCACAAAATGTAAAAGGGTATTCGTCTCAGGGAAATATCACTTTGAAATTACCATGCCGGTTTCAATAACACAACTTTATTGAAACAAAACGCATAGAGAACTAAACTACATATACAGAAAACAAAAATTAACATTTACTAATCACGTGACTTTATTCTGCCATCTATATTTTATTTTGAGAACTACTTTAAACAGAAACATCTCCCCCACCATGAACCCTTAGGAGGTTCATATATGTATAATGACTTGCTTAGGAGTGTCGATGAGCTTTACAATTCTATTCAGTTATCTAAAAAATATGACGTTTATTATTATGGCACAAATATTGATACAAAAAGTCTTCCCCATTATTTTGGCAAAGTTTCTGACTCGGCAATCTTCCTTTGTAAAATTGAATAGAGTTTTACAAAACTTTGTGTTTTAAAGGGTAGTGTGTCAAAACATTTTATGAAAAATATCAGTTATCAAACCATTAAATTTTTAAATTAGGGCCCATTTTGAACAAGATTTATTATTTTTTTATAGAAAAATTGACACCTTTCTCTGATATTTTCAGCTGATGTTATTTAGTTGCAGATGATGATGAAATCTTCTTTGAATTAGAAATTTTAGATTTTTAATTTATTTCTTGAATATCATGTAGAATTTGATTGTATTACTTCCATTGTTTAAGTTACTATTTTTTTTATTCTACTTTTATTTTTTATGAATCATTATTTTTTTTTCTACACTTATTACTTAGGGTATCATAATCTATAATTTTTATTTATTTATAGAAATGGGTGTTTTGTCTGAGATAGCTCAAGCTGTTGAAGAAATGGAATGGAAGTAAATAATTTTCTTTTCTACTATATTGTAATATATTTATTTTATTATTTATATTTAATTTATTTTGTAATATTCTTGCCTATGTATCAACTTTTAACATCTAGGGTATTACAACAGAACCCTGATTTCACGTTTTCCGTCAGACCAGTGGTTAAAAATGCATTAAGTGGTGAAACGTAAAATCAGGACAAAAAGTTATCTGAGCAAATTTTACAAAAATGTGCACTTATTAGATGAATTATTGTAATCAGGGTTGGCAAGATTTTGCCGCAGGTGGAAAAAACCATGGTAAATACCGGTAAAAACCGTCCTGGCAAAAACAGGTTTTTGCCAAGCAAATTGGCAAAAAGTGGCAAAAACCTATATTTTCCAAGATGAGAGGACAAAAACACATTTTTGGTACAAAATTATTCCTAAAATTGAAATATATACTATGAATATAAATAATTACAGAAAAATTAACAAAATTATTATTAAATCATAATTAAATGATAATGTAATAATATATCATTTTAGTAGTTTAAAACATTATTGATTGGAAAATTTGTGATTATTCTCTTTTTTCCAGTGAAATGAACTTATTTTAAATTAATATAACTATAATTTAAAGCATAAAATATCTATCAACATGTGTAGTTAATTATTGTACAAATAATAATTTTTTATAATAAATAATAATATTATACAAATAATAATATTTATTTATTTGTAAAAAAACATTTATTTTAGGATTCTAAAATGAAAAGAGATCAAAAACTTTCAATCTTTTAAAAATTATTACCCTTATATTAATTATTAATATGTTAAAAATAATTTTTTCATGTAATGTATCAAAATTATTATTCCTTATGATTGATTTAAATTTGTTTCAAGTATTTTGTAATAATATTTAATCAGCAATTTAGATAATTTGGTTTTTGCCGGTTTTTACCAGTTTTTGCCGGTTTTTCCCAGGTTTTTTCCACTGTCCTGGCAAAAACCTCTTTTTGCCGGCAAAAACTCCAACCCTGATTGTAATATATGTTTAATTTTTAAATTCTTCTTTCATTTTTATTTTTACACGCAATTTTAACAATGGCTTGTTCAACACTAACAATTTTTTTTCAAAAATTGTTTCTTGCTTTAAATTTGCAAATAAGTTTTGTTTCAGAGTTTTTTATGGTTTAAATCCCTTGATCAGTTGTGGGTGCATATTCTGGTATTTCTTCTTTATCGCCTTTTTAAGCATTATCATCAGAAACAGGCATGAAATCATATAACAAAAGAATTTGTGAAATGATGAGATGTGTTGCAGTCGACTTACAGGTGTTTTTATCCATACAATCTTCTTCTGAAGAGCAAATGTTCTCATTGAAAATGATGAAGTCTGTATTAAACCCATTGGTTGGATTCTCACTAGTAATGAAAATTTAGTAGTCCAACAGGACAACCTAGATATTCATTTAGTAGTCCAAAAATTTTATATGGTCAGCACACTTGAGGAGAAAAAAATTGACTTTACATAATTCATTTGCATAATTCAATTACATTTTACATAATTCATGTTCCAATACACATCAGGAAATATTAATTTCTATCTATATAGCTATAGTATCTAATTAGGTTCATTTCCCATGATGATTGAAGATTAGTATTTATTAAAATTAAGTGAAAAAAGCTAAAATAATATTAATAATATTAGTAAATTGATTCAACATAGAAACTAAAATGCTGAGACCAAATAAATTAATAAATGAGAAAAACAAAGAAATTAAGAACTAACAAAATATTATATTAAAAATTAATTATCCAGAAATTTTAAAACTCCAATATAAAGTCACTTTCAATACTAAAAGAGTAAAACATATTATTTTATTGATGAACATAATATTTTATTGTCAGAACATGAATGCAAAGCACATCACAGCATGCAAATTTGAAATTTCAAAATTTAATTTTAAAATTTTTTATTCTAGACACTTTCATTTATTCCATTTGAATACTATGCATTTCAGTTCTATACCATACGTAAACCAATACGGGTACAAGAATTATTTTTTAAATGCATGGAATTTTATGCAAAAATGAATTTATCATTACTATTTTGTAAAGTCTAAGCATATTAAAAGGTGATAAATTTGTCCCCCATGCGTATAATTTTAGGGACATTTGTAGAACATTTGGTGATAATTGTGGCCATACTGATGTGAACCCTACCTAAATCAGTAATGCATTTTTTATCAACATTATCTCATGAGACAGAAAACAGATTCATAATTTTCTGAACATTTGGTGATCATTGTTGCCATACTGGCGTGAATGCTACCTGAATCGGGAATGTATTTTTTATCAACACTGTCTCACGAGACAGAAAACAGATTCAGAATTTTCTGAACATTTGTCTTAGCTTTAGAATAGTCTTGCTGGTCACCGGAAGAAGGGATTTCTGAACCAGTTGTTTCACATAATGTTTTTCAATTAATCAGAGGATTCCTAGATCTAAAGGTTGGAATTAGCTTGTGTAGTTATCTGGAAAAATTCCACTCACACATTTTAAATTTAAGCTCCAAATAGCCAGTGCACTGATCAAGACACAAAATAATTTTTTGCTTTTATAGTCATATTTTTTTAAATTCAGTTTTTGAAGAAATTTTTTTACAAGGATAGAGAAAAATGCTTCAAACGATATTTTCTTAAAAAATAAAGGGTAAGGTAAAATCCGGGATAGTCTAACATTACTGGTATGGGTAATTCTTACACAGTAGCAGAAAATAATGTAGAGCTGTAGAGACCAGGGCATTGTACAAAACAGACTACATAAAATCGGGGTTCCATTATACTATGAAAATTGTTTTTAAATTTAATATAAAATTGACACCCTGGTTTGTTATTTTAACTACAGTATTTGAATTCATATTTTGAGAGTCAATATTTGAGGCTCATCATATTTTGATAGTTAATAATCTGAATCCCTCAAAAATAAGCGATATGTATATTTTTGTGTCTGATTTTGTAACTTAGAATATTTTCTGTTCTAATTTATTTGCCCAGTTTAAGTAAGAAACAAACTTAGTGGGCAAAAATCTGATCATTAGATTTAAAGTCATTCATATTGTCCACTTTTTTACTTTTTTTGCTATTTTTAAAAATAAAGTAAACACATTGTTTTTACAAATTGATTTTATTTAAGTTACTTTTTTAAAAATTTCATTTAAGCTCAAAAGGAGTTTTGAGCTATTTTATCCTTTATCTTATAAGCTATTAATAACTTCATCACTTGTCTCATATCATATGATTGTTGTTTGATTTTTTTTTTCAGTTTGCCTACAGATGTCCAATCTGAAGCTATCCCATTGATTCTAGGAGGTGGTGATGTATTAATGGTAAAATATTTTATTTATTAATCTACATTTTTATCTATTTACTTCATGTTTACTTCATTCTTTTCATTTTGAATAAAAATTCAAAACTCTTTCATTTTTTCCTGTTTGTGTAATTTCTATATTTTTGCTATTTTAATATTCAATTATTGTTATGACTAAATAAATTTCAGCAATACGTAAATTGCAATTTTTTTTTTATTATTTACGATATAGTTGAGTTATGCTCTTGACCACAGTTTCAATAATTCTTCAATTTTTTATGAATTGATTTACGTACTTATAATTTGCACATTGTTGAGGCAATTCTATTTTAATATTTATTTTAAAATCTGAACAATTCTACCCAAAAGACCAAATGAAATTTAGTTTAATATTTTTTCCTCATCTGCATCCTTAAAAAATTCATTAAAAAAAAAGTGTGAATTACTTATGCCTGTTTAAAACAAGGAAAAGCTTTTCTTAAACAATTAATTTGTGGCATAAATAAAATGGAATATTTAAATGCTTTTTATCATAGTATCTTAAATTGCAATTTTTGTCTGTTTTACCTGTCATATTAATTATATACTTTTCATGTAGGCTGCTGAAACTGGTAGTGGAAAAACTGGTGCATTTTGTTTACCTATCCTTCAAATAGTTTGGGAAACTTTGGCAGATGAAAGGAGTGGAAAAGGAAAGAAATCGGATAGTGGAGCAGGATCACAATGTAATAATTTAATGTTTCTTAATATTCAATGAGTTGAAAATAATTTTTAAAGAAATATAGTTTTACAATTTTTTCAATTAGTGTTGGTCTATACAATTTCAAGTATGAAGAGTTTTTAGTTAAAAATATTTATATTATTTTAAAATCTGTTGGTTACACTTTTTCTAGAGAGATATATTATGTAATTTTGAAGAATTACTATTTTACTAGAGATTTTAAAGAATTAATATTTACTAGTGATTTTAAAGAATTAATATTTACTAGTAATTTTAAATAATTAATATTTACTAGTAATTTTAAAAAATTAATATTTAAACTATAAATTGTTAATTCTTTAAAATTGTCTTCCTGTGTATGTAATGAAAAATTCTTGTGTATTTATATGCACCAATTTTTTCTTTTTCTGTTTTTTGATCTATATGAAAATAAAATTTTTAAAATTATCAATAAAAATTTTTTTCAGCTACAAAATGGCGAATGAGCTATTATGATCGAGGAACTGCTTTGGGTAAGTAGTATGGCTTATTATTTTAAGTTTAAAATGTATTTTGATTGTGTTACAAATTCAATTGAGGAAGCTCTTTCAATTCAGCTAATGTTATTAGAAAGTGGTTCTGTTTTTTAAAAAAAATATTCGATGCAATTAAAATGACTACTAAATTTTAAAAAAAGTGAAAAATAATAACAATTAAAAACCACATTTGTAATTCTGTCATAAATAGAATTGAGTGCTTGAAAATACAACTCTTTTTCTTACTGTTGAGTTTTATTAAAATTTTATTTCTTATCAAGATACATAATTGTTTATAAAGTATCTTGATTGTTATTATTGTACAAAAAACCATTGGTTAGTAGAGATTAACCCTTTTAGGCAAAAAAAATTTCTTCATAATTATTCAAATGAGCATAAGGGAAATAGCAACTTTAAATAAAATAGCTAAAATGTTTAAATCAAAACTTGAGCAAAGATTTTTTTTTTTTACTTCAGAAAATAAGTGTTAAAATCTAGTCTCTTTATTAAATTGTTGATTTTCTAAAATTTCTAAGAATTGTAACTCAATAATTTTTTGATAACTTTCTCTTTAAATTATGTAAAATATAGTGCATATTCTTGAATTAAGATCATACATATTTTTATTTAAGGTTCCATTAAATTAAAAAAATTAGCCGAATGATTTGATGAATTTGAATGTATATTGTTCTCTAATGGAGAATACTGTGGAAATTTTTATTGATTGCTGCATTCACTTTAGATTTATAAAACAATTAACAAAACTGCTTAAATATAAAACACATAGTTCCCTATTTCTTGTATTACATACTTCATAATTTCTTATTCTATATACTACCTTCTTACATCATAAAAGTTATTCCCATTCTTATTATTTCCATTCATATCATTCAACTTTTTAGTTTTTGTGTGCATTGTTTAATTGTAATTATCTAGGTTACAAAATTTATTAGGCTTCATACTTATTTCTTATTAGTTAAATTAAACAGACATTATAAATATTATGTAATATTTATAATGTATGTGTTAATAATTGCAATCTTCTTTTTATCAGCTGTAAGCCCTGATGGCAAAACTTGTCAGTGCAGAGAACCCAAGGAATGGCATGGTTGTAGAGCTACCAAAGGTGTACAGGGTGAAGGTTTGTATTTGAATTACTGTTTATTAATAAATTAATTTATTTTAAGCAATATGAAGCAATATGTATGATTTATAATGAATCTTTATAACCATTTCTAAAACAATATAATCTTTTAGATCTTATTGTTCTTGAACATATTTTGAAATAGAATATGTCTGTGCGTCTAATTACAAACTATTGTGCCTCTTATTAATTAATTTAAAAACAATATTTAACAAGGAAATTTTTTAATTAATTTGCTCCTGCAGTATAACATAGTAGCTTTATTGTGAGTGGTTTGACAAATGAAAAGTACTCTCAAAGTTTCAGGTTTAAATGTTTATAAAATATATTTAAGCTGAAAAAAAGTTTATTCTCATGTGAAAACAGTGATTTAGTCTGAAAAAGAAATAAAATACCTTTTTTAAAAAAATTATTGTTTATCTCCTTTAAAAATTCGATGCAACTTTGCCAGTAACATAATAGTGAAAATGTTGTACTAATTTTCATTGAAAATTTTTGTTTTAAATGAAATTCTACTATTCTTAAGTTTGATATCATTAAAAGAAGATTTCTCAAAATATTTGTCTTTTTCAACATATTCTAAAATATTGAAAACCATAGATTTTTTAATACTTTTTCTGTAATGTATTTTTTGCAATAATCCTCTCCCTCCTATATATTTTTATATTATCTTAAAGCCTTCCTTTACTTCTCATGTATGTTTATTCATAAGTTTTAGGAAGTTTTCATTTAGCTACGAAAACTTAACAATAATAAAGCAGCTTTAGCAATCATAAATTTTGCTTAGTTCCAGTACACCTTGCGTATTGTCAGTGTCTACAAAAATTCTCAGTTCTCTTCAATTCTCTCATTCACAATAAAAATTCTTTTTATTGTGTAAAAAATAATATAAATCTTATCTCTAACTTGTATTATTCATAGCTTTGCGCTAGGTAAAACTTTTCTCATGCTTTGTGAATGCATATATTTTGTTAATGTCAATAATCCTTTATTTTTGCATTCTTTCATGTTATAGGAAAATATTATTTTGAAGCTAAAGTTACAGATGAAGGTCTCTGCCGTGTTGGTTGGTCCACACCTGCTGCTTCCTTAGATCTTGGTAAATAGTCATTAATAAATAATTGTTGCACTTTTTTTAATTTTACTTTAGTTACACAAATAAATAAAATTTTTACTGGTTCCTGATGAAAAAATTGAAAATAAATTAAGATCATTAAATAATTAAATAAATTTTTGTAAATGAATTTGTTTTCAGTTTTGTATTTGAAAATATTAGATTTTGAAATAGAACTTTATAATCAATTGAGCAGGAATGCATGCTAAATGATTTTATATAAATATCATATTTTAGCCATCGAAGTAAATACCTTCTGATTTTAAGTAAGGTTGTATAGAATAATTTATTGTATATTTAATAATTGCTTTAAGGACTTTTAAACATTTAATCATTTATTTTATATGTAAATTGTTATTTGTAACAGATGCTTTAACTCTGCTATGGATCATGCAGTAAAATTTTGTGCCACATAACCGATGGTGCGGCCTTTCTGATGAAATACTTTTCCCTTTTTAGTCAAAATTTATGACTGCAGCCTATATCCAAGGGCAGCATATCTCATTAAAATTACTATACTTTTGCTTCAAAACCGTCTGTTGAAAATAATGTAGGAACAACATAACTTGATTGACGAAGCCTGCTTACGAAAGTACAAAACATGTCTGAAGGATGTTCAGTACTAAGAAAGCTTTTGACTAAAGTTCTTCTTTTTCCTATTTATTTTAAACAAATAACAGAAATATTTCCTCATGTTTATATAATCAAAAGCCAAATGCATGTGAGTAATATGTTTCTCATTTCAAGTAATAGGTCAAGTTTACATATGTCTCAAATCTGATGGATATAAAATGCTATCTTGTGTCAAAAATGATAGTTTTTGAAACCAAAACACTATTGCAAATTTCTAGCAGTCGGGGTGAAGGAGAAAGGGTTCTGGCACACCAGAGTGTCAACTAGGAAATGAAAGTGTTTCAAAGTGGCATATGAGTGAGATTCAGCTCAGAAGGATACAAAATAAATTTTCTAAATCAAGTATTGCTGAATGAACAAATTCTTATTAATTACAGTTTTAGTCTTAAGCTTTTAATTTTATGTAATAAATTGATAAAATTTATAACTAATTTAAAGGTGGATATTAAGAAAACTTTTACTCGTTTGGTACTGATGACAGCTGAACCTATCTGTTGTGATTTGTTACATCTAATGTGACTTGTTCATCCAATAAAAACACTGGAAAATGTTATAGCCTCATTACATTTTTATATTATAGTCAGATTTATGCATAATTATTTGTTTAGATATTTAGGTCAATATCTATTCTTGTAATGTTTTAATTTTTATTTTGAATTCCTATTTTTTTATCAACTTACACTACAAAATAATTCATAATTACTATGATGTACTTTAATTGTTGGTTTAATGAAAGTACGCTATAGGGTTGGAGAAATTCCAAATAAAAAATTGTGATTCAAAGTTTTATTAGATCCTTTCAATTTTTTGTACATCTATTTGCTTATAGTACTTAAACAGCTGTTAATCTTTCAAATTTGTTTATTTGTGTCTTTTACATTGTATCTATATTAATTTTACTGCCAACCAAGATGAAACCCTATATCACTTAGATTTTAATTTTGTTATTTTGTATAAAATGTTTTATTTTCTCAATTGAAGTTTAATAGAGTTGAACTCGTTTGTTATGAGAACTTAAAAACTGATAAAATCTGCCCATTGCAATTGATCACTTTGCTAGTTTGTCACAGTTTTCAAATTTTAGTAAAAGCTGTCGCAAAAAGGCCTACTTTTATTACTTTTTTATTTATGCATAAAGATGAATACTGATGTTTTGTTTGTGATGCCTTAATTTTTTACTGAGTAACTTTTCAAGTATATCATTTGTAGCACTATTTATATTATCATCTGAGCTAGGATGATGATGACCTAAAAATTTCTAATAATCTTACTACAAAAGAAACCCCCTTCTAAAGAGCCATTGAAAATGACCTTAATAATAATACCACCCTTTTAAATTTACAAAAACGCGTTTATTACCTTTTTCTATATAAAAAAAATACTAAATCATAGCTTGTGGTTATAAATTTAGTTTGAAATAAGATAATTAAAATAAATATTTAATTTATGAATGAAATAAAATCTAAATAAAATAAATAAATAGGGATTTAAATTTTTTTTAAATAAGTCATCAAGATCATCGGAATTGCATTGTATTATAATATGTTTATAAAATTCTTTAAATTGAGACATTGCATAGTCTCCTAAAGCAAATTTTTTATATCTTGAAAAACTGTGTGCAACATGAGGAGGATATTTAAAATAACATGATTCAAATTAAAATTTATACTAATTTTTAAAGAAAAAAAAATAATTCAGAAGTAAAATCAGCGAAAATGAAAAACTTCATTTAAAATTTATAAAATAAATTATTGAAAAAAGGAGGGGAAGTCTTTTATCTGAAAAAATGACCCCTAAAAATATGAACAGTTCTCTATAAAGGAATAAACAACTTAGCATACAAAAAATGCATAAAAAGAAAAATTATCATCAACACTCTAGTCCTGAATATATTTGATGTCTTTAATTTTAGAAAAGCATTTAAATCTTTTCTGGACAGTCTCAATTAATTAAGAGATTGCTTATTACACTTATAACAATATCAATGAGAACCTCTTTATCTTTGTTGTTTAGATAATTCATTTTTTTAATCTCTTTGAAATCAAGTGAACTTCTTACACCTTTCCTCAATTTCTACCAACAGGCAAAAACTTAATTTTTGATGTAATGGTGATGAAAATTTTGAAATAGTTACATGAAAAAGTCCCTTTAAATCCAAGTTGTGCTCGGCAATCCAATGTCTATGTAGACTTCTTAACTATACATCAACCATTTATAAAAAATTTTCTTGTTACAACAATTCTTGTAATAAACTAGTTCAACTGTTAAGGGGAAATTCTACTCTTGTTTTGTTAATTCACATGTCTATCGTAAACACATTATGTGGATTTATTTGGATTCCTTTTTAGGAACTGACCGACAGGGATTTGGATTTGGAGGTACAGGAAAGAAGTCTTTTGCCAAGAATTTTGAGTCCTATGGAGAAGTATGTATTTATTTTATGTGTGCGTGTGAATGTTTGAGAAATGAGAATTGCTAAATTTTGAAAAGAAATAAATGAAGCTACTGACAAGATTGTTACCACATTTTGTTCTAATTTTTTCCTCAAATTTTTTCTAAGCGTTAAAAATCTTTTAATATCACCTTATGAATTTTTACAACCTTCATATTTTTGTGATATTATATTTTGTAAAGTAATTTAACTGTATAGCACATAATGATTTTCTGTACAATAAGAATTAGATGACAAGAAAACTCAATTTTTTTGAAGAATTATATGCATGGAATTAAGAACATAAAAGTTATTTTAAATAGCAATGTAGGTAAACCTAGAAGGCATTTGTGTAACATTAAAATGGTAATACTATTTCCCTTAAAGAATATTGATGTTTATAATAAAGAACAACCTGCATCTTTAAATAACGGCTTTCGTAAAGCTAAAATTAATTACTAAATAATTATTTTTTAAAGTTTACTTAAGTTTCTCAAAGCTTGTGTCACTAAAAAATTTCTATAAATGTATAGATCTAAAATATAGTACATAGTCTTTAACATTTAACCTGAATAAGCATCAGACTATATATTCTTATTCTCTACAATTCTTTCCTCATGATTCACACTGAAATTTGTGAAAAACCTTATTAGTTGAAGCTGAAAACACAGTCAAATTCTTTTTTTTTAATGTAAAATTCTTTAGAGATGACACACATCACAGTCCTAACCCCTATCATAAACCCTCGTATGTCATTGCCAAAGTAACTAAAAAATTGTAGAAGTGTCCAATATTTTTGTGTTAAGTAATGTTATCTTTATTTGATATTTTGATCTTTATAAAAGTATCAATTCAATGCTGAATGGTTTTTAGATTTCAACATGAAAATTCATCTCAAATTGCAAACTTTGTTGGGCAAAATGCCTATATAGTAAAGGGCTCTACACCGTTGATAATAATTTCTAAAAAATACTCATTTGTTTTCCCAGATGTAAGTCTTGATGAAGGGATTTCTTTTTATTTATTTAAATTTTGATAGCAGTTAAATTTTTAAAGCATTATTTTTACAATAAAATAACATTATCTTGTAAGTAATACACTTAAAAAGATAAAAAACCAGTCAAAAGCTAGATAATTTCTATTTGTTTGTTAAACAGAATCTTTTTAACTCTAGTTATTTAAAGAACTTTTTTATTGATTGTATACTACATTTGTATGATTTCTGAAGTCGCACTCTAAACGTATTCATACTTGAATTATTTTTTTAAATCTATTTTTTAAATGTAATGATAATATTTTTTCTAAAACAACTGGTTCATTATGACAGAAATAATCAAAAGTAAAAGGCTTAAACACTATTTTCCATTCCATAAGATACTGCCATTAAAAAATTGATCTGTCTCCCAGAAAGTTCACATTTTTGTTGATTCTGTAGATTTAAAATGTATGTATTACAAAAACAAGGTCTTGATGTAAAAAAGAAAGAAAAAAAAATTAATATTAAAACTTACTATTTATTAAATTTAATTGCATTAATCAGTGTTATTTTGTCACAGTAGATTTAAATGTTTTTTTTTAAAAATAATAATTCTATTTTATTTTAAATATGATCTTTACATTATTTTCTGTTGGGTAGGCTGAAAAAGAAACGTCAAATTTGATTTTAGAAGTTTATATGTTAAAAACCTTTTCTATAATTTATGCGAAATTACATCTTAAATTATTATTGTTTTAAATATTTTTAGTTGAATATTTGAGTATTTGCAATCAGTGTTTGAAATAATATTTTGTATTTTTGCAGGCATTTGGAATGCATGATGTTATTGGATGTTATCTTGATCTTGAAAATAGTTCGATTAAGTTTTCAAAAAATGGTAAAATATTTATTTTTGTCTAGGGTAGTTTCAAGATAAATGAGTCAATAGGCAAGCAACAATCAATTTGTGTAATGAGTTTATTTAGTTAATAAAAACGCAATTTCAAACTGCAAATATTAAAGTTTTAATTTAGACTCCAAGTCACTGTTATTCAAAATTTGGTCTTCGTGGCAAAAAGTAGCTTGTTGAGTGTTGGAATAGATAAAATATTTGTTTATTTTTGTTGATATAAAATATTTTCATATCAAATAATGGTGTAATGGCACTTTAGTCTTTAACTAAATTCTGCCTGAAAATGTTTCATATGAATGAAATAGACAAAGATTTTACATAGTCTACCATGCAGCAAGCTTTCTGCCGTGTTTTGCTCTAGTTGTCAGTTTGAATATCAACAGTGTTTGGGATGATTTCACAACTGGAGGAATTTTTGCTCCTATACTTGTACTTTCATGCTTTATTTTGATTTTCTAGCTTGCTTTATTTTGAATTTCTCATTGCATTTTTGTCTAATTTTTTTCCAGTCATCTTGTATACTTGCTTATTATTATTTTTTATGCAAAAAAAAAATTTTTTTTGGATAACTTTTAGGTGTTGATTTTGGTGAAGCTTTTAAAGTGCCTGGTAATTTGAAAAGATCTGTTTTCTTTCCTTCTGTTGTTTTAAAGGTAAGACTATCTAAAATGCTTATATCAAAGTTTATTTTAGTGTTAATATTTAAGAAGTAATTTTAATAAATTTTTATTTGAAGAATTTTTTTTTTAAGAATTGATTTTATTGTAATGCTTCTAACTGTGGAATAAAATGAAAAATTGTTTTATAGTTTACATTTTATATGCATGATGTGAATATTTTTAATTAGTCAATTAAATTAAATTTTCCGCCATTTTCTCCCATTGTTATGTACAGATCTTCTATTGTTATATACAGATCATTCTAAAATTACTGGTTTAATACATTGGAATTTCAATTGTTCTATATTTGATTCGCTTGATGATTTTGACTGTTTCTATACAGTTCTATTATTTTCCAATTTTAGTTTGTGTTCTGTGTACATTTAGTTGTGTAGTTAATAATTTTTAGCCTTTTAAAAAATTATACACAAAGGCCCATTTTGCACAAAAGGAAAAGTAATAGTTTGCAACAAATTATTTAATTTTTTCACGTGCAATATTGATGAAAAGCAGAGCATTAGGATTTAGATAATGATTAAAAACTCATACAATCTGTTTTTTGTTTATGAAATTGCTCGAGTGAAAAAAAGGAGAAAAAGTATTTTTCCGTAAATAGGTTTTGCATAACTGCCAACTCTACTGGATTTTTCAGTAGACTACTGGATTAGGCCAGTTTCTCCTGGTTTACTGGTTTCATTAAAATTTCTCCTGGTTTTTGTACATTTTAGAAAATTCCTTAATATTGAGGAAATTTCCTAAAAAAAATCCTTATTGAAATAGAATTTTTGTGCAGATTATTGCTTGAATATTTAAATAAGTATTAATAATTCATAATGATGCAAGCCTCATTTATAAAAAATAGTTCAACACTTTTTTTTTGTTCAAAAATGTTCAGGTTATTTTTATTCAGAACTCTCTTTTTAATTTAATTAAAAAAATATTTTAACTATCTTTGATGAATTAAATGCCTATTACTATTCAAAATTCTGAGTAAACATCTACTGGATTTTTTTCTATCAGTGTTGGCAGCTATGGGTTTTGATACATATTATAGGAAAACTATTTTTAAGTTATTATTTAAAAAAAAATTTTTTTTGTACCAGTAATATCTCTTTAACACAATAGGATCTTTTAAAAGATTTGCATAATATGAGATGTTTGTTACGATAAATTCATACTATATGTAATTGCAGTTTTATTTTTCAAATATTTTGTATTTTATTTTATAATTGCAAAATTTATTTTCAAATAAGAAAAAACTATTTGCATATTATCAGGAAAGCACTTTTAAAACAGAAGAAAACAATTATATTTTCAGAATGCAGAAATGGAGTTTAATTTTGGTGAAACAGCATTTAAGCATCCTCCGGAGGTAAGACCAGTTTTTAATTAAAAAATTTTTTAAAAATTTGGAATGAAAAGAAACAGTCTTGTTTTTGTTTCAATAACCTATCTTTTTAGGAGGGCTATGTTGCAGTTTGCTCCGCAACCAAAGGGAATGTTGTCAACAATTCAGTCACTGGTAAGTAAATTACGTTTTTAAAAAAGTAATCAACTTATTTAACATACTTTGTAAAAAATAAAGTAATAATATAAGTTTAATTGAGCTACACCTATATGGTAATATAAAATATTTTTTTTATTCCATTTGGAAAAGTTGGAAAATTATAATTTGTACTCAATTTTACAAAAATGTTTTCTTTAAAGCCAATCAATAAAAATTAGAATAATTTTCAGAACAAATTTATGAAAATGACGACTTTATCTTAATTCTTGTCAACTATATGAGATGGAATTGCATGTCACTGTCATAAAGCTACTAATATAGCTACAGAAGTCCTAATTATTTGAGTTAAACTGAAATGTCTATAACTTGAACTGTAAACTCAGATTTAAACTGGTTTTTTTATTAATAAAAAATTAATCCTTCGTTCCATATTCTATCACATTTTTTACAAAATTGTAAAATAATGTGATGCATTCAAAAGCACAATATTATATAAACAATAATTTCAGTTAAATATAGATTTCATCGAATTTATGTGATTGACAATTGATTTTAATTTATGGATAGCATATTTTCACGAACCAACATTCAATGATGATTAATGGTCATTTGCTTTTTAGCACAATATTACGGGTATTATTTAAATTCATGTAGTTTTGAATAATAGAGATTAATCAGTCATTTTAGATGATTATTAAATAACAATCTTATATTTATTTATCCAATTTTTAAATTCAGTAGCACATCAGCTTAGGCACAACTAAGATTTTTCTAAATTCTATTTCTCCCTCCCTATTTCTAAGAATTGATTTTCTTATCCAAATATTCTCATGTTTATTTTAATGTCACAATCTTGTTTCTTTATGAGGATTAAGAAGTATTTATTTTTAAGTGTGACTAAGATTTATTTTTAGAGAGGCTGAGAACTGAAATCTAAATATTAATATCAAACTAATAGCTAAAATATTAAACTTTTCTACCCTTTACTCCAGGATGAGCGCTTAAAATTAGATAATTAAAGTAGTAGTAATTGACGCATTTTGGTTGGATGCCTGTTATGACAATTTTAAAAAGGGAAATAAAGCGAATCTTCATAATCCGTATGATAAATTTGCACTCCGAAAATTTTTATTATTATTGTAATCGCTATATGCATTATAAGTTTATGCATTTCTGTATATTTTAATTTCACTGTTTTTTAGTGTATTTTACTAATCTTAGTTCGATTTATTGTTAATTATGTATTAGTCATTGAATTATTTTAATTGTTTCTTTTTTTCCAAAGGAGAATCATCTGGTCCTGTGAAAAATATTAAAAATGCTCCACAAGCTATTATCATTGAAGTATTAATACTTTTTCTTTGAATTTTTTCTAACTTGTTAATATATGTTAGTTAGTTATTAATTCTATATTGATTACAGAACCAGATTAATTTTCAATTTTATTTCTTGTCAGTATTTATAAATCCCTAACACTCATTTGGAATGTTAACATCATAGCATTCACATTCTTTGCATTTTAAATTGCTGCCAAAAGACAGGCTTTCTAAGGATACTCTTTGTTTCTTTAAATGTAATTAGACCTTTTAATTGTTCCAAGTACTAAAAGATTGTTAGTTAATAAATTAATCCTAAATATATTAATGTTGTATAGTTAAATAACACTACTAAGATTTCTCTACAAGAAATCTCAATTTTTTCGAAAATGTCATTATGTATAATTATTAACAAACTTAATATGCTATAATGCAAACATTGCATATTAAAGCGCAATTTTATTTTCATATGAAAGAATGTATAAAATGTATTCAGTACAGTTTTATACTGTGTTATGCTTCATTGTAAAACAGTACAAAGATGTCTTTCATTCCTTTGAAACTTAAATTGACATTTCTAATCTTTTTTTCCTCCAGTATATTGTATTGTTGTTACGTAAATATTATAAATAAACATTTCTTTATGAAGCTTGTCTTTCCTAACAAAAATTTTTAATTAAATTATTTTTGTTCAATTTCCAAATTATTTTCTATTTTTGGAAATATTTTAATCAACTTTATATAAAGTGCATTATTTGCGACTTATCATTTTAAGATCAGTCTGGTAATCGAGAGTCTCAAGTGCTAACATTTTAATGGCATCCTGTTGTGGTACCTGTCTCAAGTTTATTCAGCTTGCTGCCATGATACCTTTGCTCCTGCAAAAATAAAGTTGCTCAAGAGATTAAACTAAACTTTAATTCTTAACTAAAATGTGTTGCAGATTCAAAGTACAGTACAGAACCCGTTATCCGGAATTCAGAAAACCAAAAAACCGGAACGAAATTCGATACATTTTCCAGCCATTTTTTAAAAAAAAAATTTTTTTCCTCATAAAATTTTAGGATTTTTCTTTCTTTTTTGAAAGATGTTTACCTTACAGTCATTTTGGAAATAATCATTAGTGTATTACATTATCGTTTTTTCTTCTTTTTAAGTTTATTACCAAATATTTTTTTTAGTTGGGTTTAACAATAAAAAAAACGGCTTTTTGTAGCGATTCAGAAAACCGGAAAAATCAGTTATCCGGAATAGCGATGCTCCCGATCGTTCCGGATAATCGGTTCCCTACTGTATATGCAGGGACCATAAACAAGGAAAAATTGGATCATACTCCTTAAACGTAGAATTATTATTTTTTTAAGTTAATTTATTATTTTTCTTATTAGTAAAAGTTATCCCGTTTCTTAAGTTCAGATTATAAACTTGTTAAAATTAAACCTGAAATTTTTTTGATGGGGTGTTAATTTTTTTAAATATTTTCTGTTTAAGTATCCACATTGTTTTTTACTTCCTATTCCTTCTTATTGACTCCCTTTAGTTTCAATTCAAGGAAAAGTGTAAAATTACTTGAATGAACAAAAAATCTCAGTTAAAAAAAATGTAACACACATGAAATTCTTCAACTAATTTGCTGAGTTCTGTGAAACTCAAGACTGTGGATTAACCTATTTCTGCAAATCAAAATTTATGAGTTGACAAAATTTTTTTCTTCTGAGTTTTGCTAATCTGAAATTCAAATTTCATAACTTGTAAAATCCATTAATAGGACATTTATTCTTCCCTTAAAAGCATTCTTTTTTTCCCTTAAGGAGTTAATATACGAATTTTTTTGTTTTGTTTTACACTAATTTGTAAGAGTGAAACCAAACTTCCGATAAACTTCAGAAACATGAGACTGAAATAAAAATTATGTATTCAAATGCTCTGGCAAGGACAGAATTGTAAAAATGATTACCATAAAATGTAATTTTGGAATCACAAACAAGATTGCTCGCTAGAATGAAATCATGTTCTTTTTTTTAGTTTTTTTTTTTAAAAAAACACATATTTTGATTAGTGACTATTTTGTTTCAAAATCCTATTTGTAGCAGAAAAATTATTTAATCACTGCAGTAAATTTGTCCCATTTTTTAATTTGGCTGCAATTAGATCAAATAAATATTTTCAATATGCTATTACAATATGATAAATTTTGAATCTCACATTTGAGTAATCACTTTTTAACAAGTTTGATTCCATTGTACTCCATTGTCCCATTTTGACCGTTTTTTGCAGTTATTGCCATATTTATTTTCTCATGATTTACAAACCCTGATATTATGACACGTTAAATAGGAATTAGGCATTTGAGTAATCTTTTTTTGACACATTTGATTTGCACTGAATTCATGTATTTTAGGAACTATTCTACCAATTTTATTCAAATTTTGTATTATTTTTCAAAGAAAATAAATTTTTTTATAATTTTGTAAAAATTTGTATACCTTATAATTCCTATTTTTTTCGTCTATTACTAAGTAAAATAATAAATGATTATTAAAAAGAATCTTTTGCATAGGATTATCTTTGGATTAACAAATTTTAAAATTTTGTGCAAAAATATTTTAATTCGCTTAATTCTTGAGGTATAGAGGAGTAAGTAAAAAGTAAAATTAACATTAAGGGATGAAAACTTTGGATCACTCTCCTGACTAAACTATGAGGACCAGATTTTCCTGATTGAGAGTGCTATAGGGTAAGGGTCAGAATTCCTGATTCGTCAAAAAAGGGTGTGTTTAATCAGAGAAAGTACATTTTTGTGTCTGATTTCGTAACTTAAAATATCGTCTGCACTAATTAATTTACATATTTGAGGTCACCTCTCAAACCATTAAGATTGAGTCCTAGAACATGAAGACCCAATCATTAGATCAAAAGTTATTTAGGGTTGTCCGTTTTTTTTTCTTTGGCGCACTGCGGTACATCCATAATGATTAGATTTTCATTTTCTAACTTGCATCACTAATGGTGGGGCTAACTCATATCATGTTAATTGATTAGTACTTTAAGCTATAAACCCAAGCACAAAAGCGTACTTCCTCTGAAATAACTTTTTTTCTCAGTTAAATGAAAAATGGCTGTAATAGTTTAATCAGAAAAGTGGTAAGTTAGTCTTTTTATTTTTATTTTTTGCATATATCTGATATTGTAATTTAAAATATGGCCTGCTCTAATTAATTAGCATATTTGAGATTACACTTTTGAACCATTAACATTTTGTCCTAGAACCTGAAGAATCATTAGATTAAAGTTAATTCAGAGTTATTATTTTTTTTCCTCACACTGTAGTGTACAGTGTACAGTTCGCTGATTTCTTTGTGTACAGTTTGAGAGTGTAATATATTAATTAGTATTATTCTGTATCACTTGATATTATTTCTTATAATTCAATTTTTGCTGTACACATGAAAATTTTTCTTTTTCAGCCATCTAGAGAATTAGCTGAGCAGGTAACTATTAATCATATTTCTTAATTGCATTTAAACTAAAATAGTACAAGGAAATGTAAAATAAATTAAAAACTTACAATATGTACATATGAATTTCTTGTAAATATTGCACTTATTTTTAATGTCTGTTCTATTTACTAATTTTTTATTAAATGCTTTTTTAATTAAAAATTAACTTTTAATGCAATTAGAAATTATTTTTATTATTATTATACCTACTACTTGAATAAATTTTTTAATTTTAGTTAAGTTTAATTTGTTTATAATTGTACATTTATAGTCAAGAAAAATTCCATCTAATTCCATTTCATTGAATTTTTACTTGTTTCTGTGTAATTTCCAAAGAAAATAATTCTTTTTTGTTTTATCTTTAGACTTTGAAGTGTATTCAAAACTTCCAGAAACATCTTAAGGATCCAAAAGTTAGGTAATTAAATCTTTTATGTTTAAGTGTTACTATTTTTATTGTATATTTATTACTAATCTTGGTTGTATGTTTTTATCTGACGAGGCAAATTTTATTTTGAGTAGTGTATTAGCTATATGATGATTTTCAAATTGGTAGATAATAGTTGGGAAATAAAGATACAATTTGTGTCCGTCAGTATGGAAGGACTTTAAAAAAGATTGATTATTGTGTGGAGACCAATTTCATCATTTTATTTATTTTTAATCATGAGGTGAATGTAAATAGTATGGAATTATTCTCTATTGCTAAAACCGTGACTAACATACTACAGTTAAATGAAATGAATAGCAAAATTAATTTATTAAAAGTCATAAAGTGTTTATGCATTTGGGTTTGTAAGAAGTATAAATATTTGAAGCCAAGCCAATTAACATTTATTTATTTGTCAATTTCTTATCTTAAATAATGTAGTTCTTTTAAAATATTATAAATTTTACTTATGTATGTTTAATGAATATTTTAATTATTAAAATTGTTTTTTTTTTATATATTTATATATAAAAGCTAGTAAATTTTAGTCAGAATACCTGTGTGATTACTTTCAATATCATTTGCTTTACATGAATAGGCAGCTTACTGCAATAATTATCAGACAAAATACTTTTGATATCCAATGATTAGTTTTCAATTTTATGTTTGTGAATTAGTAAATAGTATGATAAATGTGCAGTGGCGTATTTCACGCCATTAACTTTTTTATTTTCCACTGAATTTTACTTTATACTAATTGCTTACTGTTCTATGATTATTACTAAATAATTTAACAAATTATGAAAAGTTAGTTTCAAATTGTGCAATNACTTGAAAGGAGAAGACAGTGTTCTAGTATGACAAATGTTCAGCGGTGTATTTCACACCATTAACTTTTTTATTTTCCACTGAATTTTACTTTATACTAATTGCTTACTGTTCAATGATTATCATATTACTAAATAATTTAGCAAATTATGAAAAGTTAGTTTCAAATTTTGCAATTTTAACATATTAGATAATAACTTTTGTTAAAATGTAGTGGGGCTATTATACTGGGCTAGGATTTTAAATGCCATTGACAGATAACAAAGAGATAAAGGGAATTCTATGTCCAAAAGTGCATTAAAGTGTAAAAAATTTATACTTGAAACTCTATATGAGACTGTGTTATTATGTGTAAATAAATATAATTATTTTTGTTTAATTAAAGTCTCATGATTTAGAGCAGCACCCTTTATGATTGATTTCTCTTTTGTTTTTGTGAAAGACCTAGTTTATAAAATCATTTAATTTCATTAATTTAAATATGTAATAGCATATATGTTAAGTACAATACATCAAATTTTAAATTTTTTAATGCTATATTTGAAAATTAATTTCCATCAATTCTAGGGAATTGCTTATTATTGGAGGTGTGGCTGCTAAAGAACAGATTATGGAGTTACAAAGTGGGGTGAGTGAACACCTGTGAAAAAGGTTAAGTAGTTCTGTTTGTTCAATGAATGCTTTAGAATTTAAAATTGGATGTGATAAAACAAGAAAGATTATATTTGAGGAATATCAACAGCTTTTAGGTTTCTGTATGTTTGGATTTTTTAAAAATCCATAAATAATATTTATATTTTAAGACTACATTTCTGCATCTGATATCTTTTTAATAACAATATAAGTTTCAAGCATTCATACTCATCATAAAATTGTTTGCTTTGGTATGTTGGTAGAGTACTATGGGATTTTTTATGTGATGATAGTATTGTTCTGCTCATTCAGCACAGTTGCATCTGTTGTAAAAGTGGCAATAATATTTAGTTAATTATTTTATATTTAAAATTTCTCATTATTTTTTATTTGTTGCTAATTTTTTCCCTATATGTGGGGAATAAGTTTAAAATTGGCCACAAAATTTTTTCTGAAGTATTTTTCTGTAGTAAAAGGCCATTTTGCCATGGAGTTATCTTTTTTCTGGCTTTTGAAATTTTTTTTAAAAATTTCTCAAAAAATACTTAAGGAATTATTTTTTAACTTTGGAGGTGTTAAGCTCGTGCAATTTTTCATACTTAACAATAAGATTTAAAGCTTTCAGAGGTTTGGAGGAAATACAATAAATTGCGAAGATAAACAAGTATTTTTGAATACCCTTTGCCAGAAAATCAAGCAAAAAACTTGTAACTTGTATCGATTACTTTAGTTGTTCTTTTTAATAATTGCATAAACTTTCATAAACCTAGAGTAAATATTTATGGAGATATAGACATTTTTATAAAAAAAACAATTTTTTTGCCTTATTTTTTTTTTGCTCTAACTTCATAAATATTCAATGGAATTAAACAAAATTTTTGAAGAAATTTAAAATTAATTACAAAATTGTTGATATAAAAATTTAATTTTTAAAAAAAAAACTGCACAGGATGTAAGTATTTCAGCTAATTCTTTTATACTGCACATTAATTTTTTTTATCTTTTGTTACCTTTATTAATTTTTACTTTAATTTTATAGATTGATATTGTTGTGGCTACTCCAGGTAGATTAGAGGATTTAATTTCAACTGGGCAACTGTCTCTCTCTCAGGTAAATTATTATTTATATGAATAGTAATTATTCAAAATTGGTGAACATCAACAATATAGTTAAATATCCCTAATTTCTTTAATTAATTATTACAAAAATTTTTTTTACCATTAATGTATTTTAGTATGGAAAAAAAACTTTTTATTTCCCACAAAATGTTTTTACTTTGTATTCTGCTTATTAACTATTTTATTAAATAATCAGAAATAAGCATATTTTAGATTTTGAAAAATGCTGATTAAAATATATTAATTTACCATGTAAATTTAATTTAAAAACTGATCTTTATTTAAATATCTAAAACCCATGCTTATTTTTATTGCAGGTTCGATTCTTTGTGTTGGATGAGGCTGTGAGTTGAAAATTTTAATATTTATCATAATTTGTTATTGTTTAAATAAAGTTAGCTTGATCCAGATTTGCATAAATTTTTTTTTAATAATAAGCTATATAACATTTTATTTGTTTAATTTTTTTTCATTCTTTCTTTCTTTTTTAAATTTTTTTAAATATTATGTAATGTTTTTTTTTTTCTTTCATGGGTAATTTTGTGTAACAAAGCCACAAAGGACTTAATTTCAAACTACTCACTCCGTATATTTCATATTTAGAAAAAAATGATTCATGTAAATCTTTGATTCCATATTCCTTTCAAATAATCCCCCATTAATTTTAGTAAATTTCAGAATCTTTTTATTTTTTTTTTGCAAGTTAAGTAATTTTGTTAAATTATATTAAGCCTGTTAACTTAACTATTATTTTAGGATGGTTTACTCCAAGCGGGATACAATGATTTAATTAATAGAATTCATCAACAAATTCCAAAGATAACTCCTGATGGAAAAAGATTGCAGGTATATTCACTAAAACGATATGTTTTATTACTAATTCATTAGAAAGTGATTTATGCTTTGAGGATAATTTTAATACATAATTTTCTAGATGGTTGTTTGTTCTGCTACCTTGCATTCGTTTGATGTAAAGAAACTTGCTGTGAGTAATATTTTAATGAATATTTGTTTAAAATTAAAACTTGTCTATTCAAATTACGTGCTAATTTATACACGAAATAAAATTTTCACAGCTTATTAGTAAATTTTCTGCTGCTGTTTACTTGACTTAAACTTTTTTAGATATTTTTAATACATAGTTTTACACTATTCACTTTACAATAAATCCTAATCTTTGTATTTTAAAATATTATTAAATCAATGTTTTTAATTTTATCAATATTGTATCAGTTTTGATTATATTAAAAATAATGTATTGATTTAATATTAATAATTGATATTTTTTTATTATTATATCATGTAATTTTTTTAATTTTTTTAAAATTTGCTAGCTTTTGAGTTTTTACATATTAGATGAATATTCTGACATATTTTCATTACTTGGAAAAAAAAACGTTTATTTGTTACAGGAAAGGCTTATGCATTTCCCAACTTGGGTTGACTTAAAAGGAGAAGATAGTGTTCCTGAAACTGTCCATCATGTTGTAAGTTTATGAAAAATTTCATTTTATTTATAGTTTTCTAGAATTCAACTTATACTTAACTACTCATACAAAATTGAATGTTTTTAAATACAATTGCATGCATCAATTCTTATGTATTTTTTTTAAAGGTCTGCATTGTTGATCCAAGAAAAGATCTTTCCTGGAGAGAATTAAAAAGACCTATCAAGGTTATATGTATTTTTCATTCATTTTCTTTGTTTGTATTAATTATGCCTAAAATAAGCTCTCCTTTTTTTCCATTTTTCAAAAGCATGATTATATTTTTGGAGTACTTTTTATTATTTGGAGATATGTATTATTCACTCATAAAATTTGCAAACTTAAATTTTGTTTGCTACATTATGATGCTTAAAAAATACAGTGAAAATTTTGGAGAGTAAAACACAGGGTTGCCACTCTACATGGAGAACAGGGAAAACGTGGAAAATACAGGGAATTTAAAAATCACCTAAAATAACAGGGAAAATGCAGGGAATTTTGATTTTTTCCTTGCAAACTGGGAAAATACAGGGAATTTTGTTTCTTATTTTTGTCTTTTAAAAAATGGTACCCAATCAAAGCGTAATCTATGGGATATTTAGCCATGATATTTCAGCTATACTAAACTATTTCACTTACTATAACATTATTTAAATATGTTCAGCTGTTTTCCCACCAATTAAAACTAATAAATATAGTTAGCCCTATATAGCTCACAAAAGAGCACAGTAATTGTTGTTTCCTTTTAATATATTGTGTATAATAGTACNTTTATTTGTTACAGGAAAGGCTTATGCATTTCCCAACTTGGGTTGACTTGAAAGGAGAAGACAGTGTTCCTGAAACTGTCCATCATGTTGTAAGTTTATGAAAAATTCCATTTTATTTATAGTTTTCTAGAATTGAACTTATACTTAACTACTCATACAAAATTGAATGCTTTTTAAAACAATTGTAACATCTATTCTTATGTATTTTTTTAAAGGTCTGCATTGTTGATCCAAGAAAAGATCTTTCCTGGAGAGAATTAAAAAGACCCATCAAGGTTATATATATATATTTTTTCTTTTCAATTTTTTCTTTTATTTTCTTTGTTTGTATTAATTATGTCTAAAATGAGCTCTCCTTTCTTTTCCATTTTTCAAAAGCATGATTATATTTTTGGAGTCACTTTTATCATTTGGAGATATGTATTATTCACTCATAAAATTTGCAAACTTAAATTTTGTTTGCTTCATTATGATGCTTAAAAAATACATTGAAAATTTATCTTCTTCTTTGATATTAATTTTAATTAATATATTATCAATTAATCCCCAGCAGCTTTTTCACCAATAAATATTTTAAAATGGAAGAAATTTTTGGAAATAAAAAAAATATTGTTATTTCCTCCCAATTTGTAAATTTTGAAGTCTTGAGTATTATGTTTGTTTCAATAAAGAGTTTGTAATACTCTATTTTACCAAATTGTTTCACTCTATGGTAATAAGTTACAGTATTATTATTATAGGGTAGTATTTTTTTAGACTTACTATCAAAAAATTTTATTTGTAATAAATCTCTCTTTTTAAATACTATATTATGTGATTTTCCTTTATTGTGTTTTTGCCAATCTGATTTTTCTCTCCCTGCAATTGTAGACTGATGAAGTCCATGCTAAAGATAATGTAAGATTTGGATCAAATACACCTGGTGAGTGTAAAATGATTAATAGCCCTTTATGCTTTGATTTTGATGGTTATTTTATTATGAAAAGTGAAAATTCATCTTTTTATCAGACTTTTTTAAGTAACTCTTAATATTGTGGGAACTGTAATAAAAACAGTAGTAGATAAACATTTAAAATTTATTTTTCACAATTTATGCACAATTATAATTATATTTTTTTAAAAAATAAGACTTTTCAAGTTTACTGTATTAGTTCAAGTTATTAAAATTTATGGCTAGATATCAGAGTATTAGACAATTTTGCTTAGCCTTTATTTAATTCATGTAATTTTGTTGGCTTAATTTTTTCCCTATATTTAATTCTACCATATAGATGAGAAAATATAATTGAAGAATATTATAGTAAAGATAGTTGGGTCCAACTTTTAAAAAAGCATATAAAATGAGGTAATATACGCATTTTGAATCACTGAAATGTGTTTAGTGGTTAGAGTACACTAACAAATAAATCATTGTTAGTTTAATTTTCATTTATTTATTTTTAAAAAATTTCTTTTGTTTGAAAAATTTATTACTAATGAGATTTCAGTTTTTTATTCAAAAAAATCATATTCCAATATATTGTTAAAGTGTGATGTAAAAATTTAAAATTTATTTTTGTCATTATATGCAACTTAGCTGAAATTAAGATTACATTAATTTGTGTTTAAAGTGGTAAAAAATTAAGTTTTAATTTGGATGTATCTTGTTTAATTTTTGTATTCACTGTTTACTGATTGTGTTGGTGTTACTGATATTCTATGGTAAAAAATCCACTCTAGAATCATTGTCAGAAGCTGTGAAGCTATTAAAAGGAGAATATGTCATTACTGCCATTAATGAACATAAAATGGATAAAGGCATTATATTTTGTCGCACAAAAATAGATTGCGATAATATGGAAAATCATTTGAATGCACTTGGTGGAGGTAGGTTTTAGATTGATATGTTATATTTAATCAAACATTGTTTATTTAAGCAATTTTTGTGAATATCTAAATTAATGTAAGTTCTATAATTTTGTAGAATTTGCTTATTTATTTTTATAGAAAGGTTTATATATTATACAACAAACTTTTATTCATATAGTTTTATATTATATTTTACAATAATGTTTCTAAATGATGTAAAGGCATTTTTAATTAATTTCTAACCAAGGAATTATGCATGTCAACACTTAGAATGTTTTTAATTTTAATATTAAAGTGACACCTGTAAACTTTTTTTGGAAATGGAAGGACCTTTTCTGATCTTTGAATTGATTTAATTTAAGCTTTTTTTATAGAAAAGTCTTTGATTATTGTGCATAAAATAATTTTTCAAGAAAATAATTTAAAGTCTGTGTTTCCTTTATAATTATCTGAAACTTAGAAATGATTGCGAAGTTATTATTAAAGAGCCAGAAATCTGATGTAAAAATATTTTGATAGAATTATCTGTGGTGTGGGCCAAACCTGCATATTTTTACAAATTCAAACCCAGAAGTGTCCCAAAAAACTATTCAATAATTGCTTTAAGTGCAGCTTTTCTTCAGCAAATCATTTCCCTGGTTCTTACATCTTTAAAGTTCTTTGGAGAGTGATTCACTGTATGAATAAGCAAATTAAATGCATATATCACGTACATAATGAGTGTCTAATTCAGTTGCTGAACTTCGTCCTGGTACACAATTTTGTACTTTGCATGGAGACTTGTTATGTACAAGCTGTACTTTTTCCAGTTAAACTTAAAAGATTTTAGCTTTATGTTTTTTTTTCTTAAGATTTGCTAAAATTATTCGCCTTTTTATTTAATTTCATCATTTTCCAAACCATAGTCACAAAAAAGAACTTGCTTACCTCAACTTATCATCCAGATGTCAGTTTGAACGAGCACTCTAAGTTTTTGGGCACTTTTGCTGTATCCACCATTTTTTAAACAAAATCTTGTATGTAGAGAATGCAAATTTAAAATTTCTTACTTTACTTATAGGGAATTTCTGCCTGTGCTATTTTATAATATTTTGTTTGCATGAGATTTTGACTGAATAGCCTACAGTCTTTTTAATTTTTCTGTAGTTTTTTTTAAATAATCTCAATTACACCAATTTTAAAGAAAAGGTTGGTTTGCACAATTGTATGCATTCTGAAATATTTACAATATTATGTGGTAATGAGAGTATGTGGCTTTATAATTGAGAATTGACAGGTTTTTCATCACCATCATAATTTGTGGAAAACCCCATGTTCTTCAATAACTGCTTTTTATGGCTATCTAAGTTTCAAAGAAAAATTGTATTGAATTTTCATTCTGTCCTTCATTAACATTCGGAAAAATTAAAAGGAATTATAAGAGTTTAAATTGCCATTTTTGAGAGTCTAGAATTTACTGTGCATGAAGTGCTAACACAATTTTGCTAATTGAAATTTATTAATGCAGCAATATTAAGGAAAAAAATTAAAAAAATCAATGCAAAAAAAATTGAACATTTTCATTCTATTAAAGAGCTTTTTGAGTCAATAATTTTTTAAAAAAAGTTGAATAGTTTTAATAAAAAATAAGTTAATTTAAATAATACTGATTAACATGCTCTTTTGTTTATTAAAAAGCGTTTTAAAAAGATAGTGATTAAAGAAGTTGTTTACAAAAAGATTAAATTTCTGAAAATTTATTTTAGTTAATCTATTACTTATTTTTTAAAAATATTATGAATTTTTAAATGAATTTTTTCACTCATTTTCTTCTTTATATAATTTCTTGAAGAATTTTGTAAAAGCTTAAATATTGTAAAATTTCATAAATTTTTATTTATAGGAGCAAGAAATAAAAATAATACTTATTCCTGTGTATGTCTACATGGGGATAGAAAGCCAGCTGAAAGAAAAGAAAATCTTGAAAAATTTAAGGTTGGGTTATGTTCTTTAAGTAATTCTTTATGTATTGAAAAAATTTTTTTAATATTTTAATATATATATATTTAAAATTAAAATAAATGACTTTATTTGAAATCAAGTCATTTATTTCAAGTAAAATATGGTTTAATATATTGTTTAATACTTGTAGATAATTCACTGTTATTTTTTCATTTCAGAAATTGCTGCTATAAATTTTTAAATTGTTATAGTTTTATTATTTAATGATGACATGTTAAAAATAATCAAATTAAGAGTAATTAAATTTAAATGTGATATTTTTTCCTTAAGGAATTTGTGACTTTTTCTTAGTTTCTTTCTGTGGACTGATAAAAGAAAAACTCTTAGTTTTTTATCATTTTCTCCTATTTTATTGATTCAAAAATGATAATTCATTGAAATCTACTTTTCTTTTTTAATAGAAAGGATTTGTTAAATTTTTAATCTGCACTGATGTAGCAGCCCGGGGTATAGATGTTTCTGGAGTTCCATATGGTAATAAGATAAATATCAATAAAATATTTTTAAACATTTCTATTTTCGTGGATTAATTTAAAAAAAAATCTAATTTTAAAATGTAATTTATTATTATTAAACTGTTATATGCTAGTGTGTGTTACAATATAAAAAAAAACATGAGTATTATTTTATTTCATTTTAAATTGTTTAAAGTAAGAATAAAGTTATCATGTATGAAAAAGTTTGAGTTTTAAAGTAAACTTCTTTTTCATTATGATAAAAATGTAAGATTCCTTTTAAATGATTTCAAAACAATATTTGAATAAAAAGAATATTAAAAAAGTGTATCTTGGTGTGTTAAATTTAGTACGCAGTTGTGTTCTGTATCTTTTGCGAAACTTCTAAATAAAGTTACTGTAAATTTTAACATATTCCCAAATGTTTTTTATATTGAATTTAGTGATGAATTATAATTTTATTACCCAAAAAATATTAAAATTTCTCATAATTTTCCAATTTCTTATTTAATTTTATTAACCTTGTAGTTGTTGACTTTAAACTCTGTAGGTATTGCAGTTTGCTTCTATTAACACACAGAAGAAAAATTATTGTACCTGTTTTCTACCTATTGTACTAATTTGATTAAGTTGTACATTCATTAATATTAATTTGAATTTGTGTATTTAAGATTAATCATTTTTTCGCATTCAGTATTTTTCAATTTTCTCAAGCATATCGAACAAAAAATAAGGTAGCAGACTTCATATATACCAGTAATGACTTTTTGTTCAAAAATTGTGGCATTATTTTGCGACAGTAATAAGCCTCAAAATATAAACATTTGAAAAAAATGTCAATTAAGTTTTGTAAAATGCTCCTAACTTTAGCTATCTTTCCAGATTTAAAAAAATTATCCAACTTATATCAATAATCTGAAGATTATCAAACCTAAGTTTAAAACTTATCACTAGAACTATTTTGTATTTTGACTGCACCAGGGACATTAAAAATTGCTGTCACTTTTTAAGAATAAATAATTAAAGGTTAGGAATACTGATAAATATTTATAAAAAATTTGTCTACAGCTTTGCTTTTAAAATAGAGAATTTGTTATTCATAAAATGATAAATTCATTCAAAGGATCTCTATATCAATCTAAGGTCTATTATACTTTCCAGAATTCCTTTATACTTCACTGTGAATAATAGTAAGCAAGGTTTTTTCATTTTGTAAATATTTTTTCAATTCTTTAAGTGGCATGAGTTTGATTAAAACTTAGAAAGATTGAACATTGTTGTATTCCTAGGAAATCTGTAAGGGACCAGTTTGGCCTAACCCAGATTTTTAGTATGTAGATCTAAAAATCTTAAAATATAATCAGAATTAATTTAATAAAGAATATACTACAGACTCGATCATCAAAATTGTGAAGTATTTTAATATCTTTCTGATTTTCAGTTTTAAGAACAATTATCATTCCAATGTCTTATTTAACCCTTTATCTAAAGAAAATCTTTTGAGATGCTACCTTGAATATGTTCGAAAGGTAAAAAGTGGTATCAAAATTATTTCATTTTTAGAGATTATCTATAATAATCCAAACTATTTATTGAATATAATGAATTGATATAGGGCTAAATAGGTGTATTTAACTTAAAATTGTGCAGTAAGTTGTTTTAAAAAATTATTACTAATGAATAGTAAATTCACTTAATTTAGACATAAATTAAGTGAAAAATAGTGTGATTGAAAAATAGTTAAGTGAAAAGGTGACTTAAGCCACCCTTTCAAAATTTACAGCACAATTGGGATTTAAGGTTTTTCACAATAGATTTAAGCCACATGATTTAGTAACTGAACATAAATAAGGATTTGTCTTTTTCATTATTAAATACTAAGTAATCTAATTATTTCAATGCGTTGAACATTAAAAGTGCATATTTTTTGTTTAGAAATATTTTATTTTAAGCTTATATTAGCTAAATAGGTATTTAGGTATTGTAAGATTGGCTGTATTAATTAGCATATTATTTATTGGAAAATCATTGTGTTTTAAATTTCTTTCTCTAGTGATAAATGTTACATTACCAGATGAAAAAAATAATTATGTTCACAGAATTGGTAGAGTTGGACGTGCAGAAAGGTACTAGTTAATGCTGTTTTTATATTCAAAATTAGTTTTTACTTGTTTTTAATTCCTTATGATTTTAAGTTGATCTTCATTCATCTTTTACGCTTAATTTTATAGATAATTTTATTGATAAATTTTGGTACTTTTCCATTATCCATTTGCAAGCAAATTCAACTTTATAATTTTTTTTGTTGGTCTCACTGTGTTTTGTTCTCTATTGTGTGATGTGTGAATGTGGCCCATCCTATGAATGGGTATTTGTTGCATGGGTAATGTTGCTCTCTTCCATGACTTAAGTTCACAAGTGCCCTCCGGGTAACGTTAAAGAGCAATACTTTCGGCATCTTTCCTCGCAAAAGAACGAAAGTTCATTGACTGCCATTTAAGGAAAAAAAAGGGGGGGAGTATGGCCATTTTGTAATAAAAAATATTTTAAAAATGTATTTATTTGAGCCGAGCTTACAGAAAATACCTGATTGTCATATGTTGCCCAGGGACTAGACATTTTGCTCTTTTTTTTAAAATTCTTATGGCATTAGTTACTAGTTTATGATAATACTCATATGGTCTGAGTACTATCCAGGAAAGAACATAGACTTCCTTTTAAAACTATTGGTCAAGTTTTGGTTTTGTAAAGCAATATGACCAAGTCTCTTAAAAAATGAATTCAATTGGAGGATTAAACATGATGCATCATGGAAACTTAGTAAATGTTGTTTCAAAAAGTGAAATTAAGAACAATTATGAAGTTACTTTAATCCAAATATTGAATGCTGTAAGACAATTTTTTTAAATGGAAGAATTGATCTGTTAATGAAGACTTAGCAAAAATTTATTAGTTATCATGTTATAATCATGTGTGAAAAGTGCCCTCTAAATGTGTTTTTTAATACAAATAAATTAAAATAAAAAGGAAGGTAGGTAAATATACAAAATAAGTTTATATTTTTGTGTATTAAGAAGCTTGCATGAACTTTTATTACTATTATGCTGTTTTATTATAACCAGTTTTTACTGTAATTGTACCACTATATCATTAACTCACAGTATTAGACTACAAGTAAGAATAATTTCTATTAAAATACCAATTACTTCAACTGTGTTTAATACCAGCAAACCCTAGAAAACTGAGATGAAATAAATCTGGGTAGATAAATATTAAATTGATTGATCATTTGTGGAGCTTTGCGTTCAAAAAATTAGGGATTATGAATTACAATGCTTACTGATTTGAATTGTTTCAATGTGTTCATTGTTTTCCATAATACTGATAACACTGCTAATGATAATGATTTCTATTAATATCATGATTGCCCAAATCATGATTAATGTCAACAAATCCATGAAGCTTAAAATAGACCGGTAAGTAGATCAAACTTATTTAGGCAGGCAAAACTTAAAAAGAGAGTACAGTTATGATGTATGATCTTTTCAATAATAGTTTTTCTGAGCAAAATTTTGAATTTTCTTAGAATTTTTTTTTCATATAAACCTTTTGTATATGTTTGACAATAATAAAAAATTATTATCTTACTGTTTATTTTTTGTTATGAATCTTATATGAACCATGGGGTTCATATAATAACTTATTGGGTATGTACTTTTTTAAAGATTGCTAAATTATATCTTTTTAATTTCATGCAGAATGGGCTTGGCAATATCCTTAGTGGCTGCTGTTCCCGAAAAGGTAACAAATTATTTTTAATTAGTTCTAAGTTATTTAGTTGCAATGTTTTTAATACATTCTTTTTATCTTTTGAAATTGTTTTTTTTTTAATTCTATTTCTAAGATTGTTTGTACCTTTTTAAGGTTTGGTATCATTCCAATTGCTCTAATAGAGGTAGAAATTGCTGGAACACTAGATTAACAGATCAAGGTGGATGTTGCATATGGTATAATGAACCACAGGTATATATAAAATTACTGTTTATGCATTTATTTTCAAACCATTATATTTCAAGATAACTTTTTAATTTCTTTTTGCTAGATTGCTTTATTTAAAATCCTAATCTTGTACTAATTTCAGTGCTTCTTCTCTTTTTATTCATTACAAAATATTAAGAATTCAAACAATTATTTACAATCGATCAAATTAAAGTTAATAAATTTGAATATCTTATTTTAGTATTTGGGTGAAATTGAAGAACACTTAAATTGTACTATACAACAAGTTGATCCAGATATCAGAGTTCCAAGTGATGAATTTGATGGAAAAGTTGTGTATGGGCAGAAAAAAGCAGCAATGGGTACAATATTCAATATTTTTAAAATAAATATCATTTATTTTTTGTTCCGTTAAATTTTATAAATATCTCGTTTCTTTTGTTTTTCATTTGCAGGTAGTAACTACCAAACACATACTGCTCAGATGGCTCCAACTGTAAACCTGTTAACACAACTAGAAATATGTGCCCAAGAATACTTTATTAAAAGATATTGTAAAAATGAATCTCGCTTCATTAAATAGACTTTTTGTTTATGACAAATGTATATTGTAAGATTACTAAAGATTTTTTCCTCTTGTAGTTAATAATAAAAGCAATTGATCTTCATTCCTCAGTTCATCATTATTCTATAATTATTTCTTATTTCTTGGAATTATATAGAAAGTATAATTTATAGTATTTTTATTGTCGTGTTTTGTTTCGATAATTGATAAACTACCTGTGATACTGTCTAATTATCAATGGAGTTGACAAATTATCTATGGTGTTTAAGAAAATAATAGATAATATTCAGAGATCTAGTTTGCAATATTATAGAATGTTGGATTGATTGTTCAAAAAATATATTTTAAAAAATTCATAAATAAGCAGATATACACTAAACACTTAACAACATTTAGTATTACTAAGGGTTTACTAGTCAAATTATTGCTTACCAACACGCAGAGCAGCTCTTGTAGTTCTTTTTAGATCACTTCTTGATCTGTGCTCTTTTTCACTTATTCACCAGATACTAAAAGTACTTTAGTATACTTGTTTGAGCAATCAGCTGTTACATAAAGACCAAGATGGTTGATATTACTTTCTAAGTAACTGAAAGCAGTAGTACATAAAGTTCAATATACAGATGTAATAACTAAAGTAATATGTAATAAATACATTCAGTTGTAATAAAAATAGATGCTTCTATTTTATCTAAAAATCTTTATATAAAATCTTTCTATAATCTAAAAATATTTTTATATAAAAATATATAGAATTTACTAATTTTCAAGATGGTTTTTTGTTTTCTTTATTTTGTTTTCTTTACTATTTATTTTCTTTTAAAAATTTAATTTAGCTCAAGTAAGTGTATCCAGTTCAAAAGGATATCATTGATTACAGTTTCCTCAATATGAAAAAAGTAAATTTTCTTTTAAAATAAGATGTTAAAAAATTATCTACCTAATTCTAATAGTGACACCTAACAAAGTATAAATTAAATATAATACGATAAAATTTAAGTTATCAAGTTTGCTATTTTCAAATGTCATAAAACAATAGTTTTTCATCATTTCCCATAAGCGGCATTGACGTCATTAACAATTTCATTCATATTTCAATTTTTTCTTTTAAAAAGAAATTACACTGGCATTCCTACTTAATTGCATGCAATTTTGACTTTGCAAATAGTAATACATATTTAACTAACGCTTAATTCAATCCTTTAAAATCCTAATGCAAAGCAGAGAAGAAAAAAAATTTCGGAATTTTTTCTTTCCTTCAGTATGCCAAGCAATGTAATTTTCGAATCCTGTCATTGGTTAATTTTTTTAAAACTAGAGGTTTGGTTATTATTGGTAAAATAAACTGCGTTAATTATTATGCTTACATGTAGGTCAGGAACTTTCTAAGCATAAATCATAATTCATAAACCTTACGTTTCATTCTATTACTTTTTCAAAATTTAAAAAAAAAAAGGTGAAGAATAGAAACTTAAAATTTGCTGTTATTGATTACATACTTTTTTTCTCTCCAGGTTATTAAAAGAATCTAAAGTTGATAGATTTGTTTTTATGTTCTGCACTTCATCGTCATTCTGTGTGTTTCAGCTATTTTTATCTCGATAAACTTTTTCTTCCAAACTTCCCCATCGATTTAAATGCTATAGCATGCAAATTAGATTTAAAATGCAATACTTGCAAAAATTTTCAATCTATTTTTTTTTCTTATCAAAAGCTGACAAATACTAAAAATAAATGAGATAAAATTGACAAGATGAGATATTGGATATTTCATCTTAGGATATTTTTACTTATTTAATCTAAGATTGTTAAATGTTCTGTTACGTATGAAAATGCAATAAGTCTTTTTGGAAAGTGGTATAAGTCTAAAGCTTCGAATGATTGAGGTTCTCGGGTGTTATATATTTATTTATTATTTATTGGTAATAAAATATATTTATTCGTAATAAATTTGTTCGAAATATATTTATTGGTTATAAAACAGCAAATTATTTTACATATTAAATTAAGCACTTTAAAATGTGAAATGAATAATGAAAAATTATAATTTAGAAGTTACACTCTTATCTACATTTAAGCTCTTCCAAAAATATATATATATATTTATTAGCTTTATCCTTAATTCTATGAATAAAAGATTTATTTTCAATGAGATTTGATATTAATGGCTTATTATCACAGCCTTTACCAGAGTACCTTCGCAGACAGAATTTTGAAATTTTTTATTAAATTTATGTATACATTATACTCTAAAACATGATATGAATATAAACTAAGAAAAAATTTTTTTAAAAAGGAAATATATGTGAAAACAGGCCAAAGATGGAACTTTTTTTTTTCAAAATCACATAGCTTTTTTAAAATTATATTATTTCATTATTCTTGCTTTATAATACTCATAAAAATTCAGCTTGGAGAATAAACTAAGGATTAGACATAATATTAATATTTAGATATTTTATAACAAATATAGAAAGTTATTCTTCAAAAGAAACCAAAAATTGTGATTAATTATTTTTATTGTAGCTGTAAATTAAAAAAGTGGTTTAATCCGCTAGTCTGTAGTTCATACCCTAGACTATATGTATTGAAAACATTCATTCAAAATTTCGAGCATTCTGAACTAAAATATTTTAAGAAATTTAATTTAGAATGAAAAAATAATAGAAAAATTAGTTTTGAGAGAAAATGTAAAAAAAGACACAGTTATTAATTTAATAACTAATATAGATATTCTTTTTTTTAATTTTTTTTTAAGCATCTTCCGCAAAAACATCTTACTTCTGTTCTATTTGATGTAGAAGCAAAATTCAACTGGGTTTTGGGGTTCATAGTTTTATTTTATATAACAATGGACCCCAAAAATAAGTGTTAAATAATATATATTTTATTATAAGTTTTAAATTTTGTTATATGTAAGTTTTTAATCATATTAGTTTAAGACACATTTGGAAATATAAATTACAATAACTCGTATGAATTATGTATCCGAGTAATAGTAAAAATTTATCCAAGATTTAACAAATGTAAAGAAAAACTTGTAATATAACCATTAAACAGTCCTGAATTTTTAGCAGCCCTAAATGTAAGCGGCTCTGGGCGATCGTCCAGTTTCCCCACCCCTAAGCGCATCCCTGAAATGGACTTGTCCCACTTTCAAGAATAATGACTGGAGTATAAAAAAAAATTTTCTTTACGAAAGACATTTCTCGTGCTGTGACGGCACTGCAAACTTTAAATGCCCCTCATCCAAGGAAAAAAAAAATCATTTAATCGTTTACCTATAATTTAACTATTCATAATTTATCGAATTAACTTCTAATAAACATATAATGATATCAGAAAATTTGTTAAGCCTTATATCTTTAATTTGTATAATGATTTATTTCCCTTATTTGTTTTGAGTTGCTATGCTTCTAAAATTTCAAAAATACCAAAGTAAANAAACCGTTACCCTCATCCAAGGAAAAAAAAATCATTTAATCGTTTACCTATAATTTAACTATTCATAATTTATCGAATTAACTTCTAATAAACATATAATGATATCAGAAAATTTGTTAAGCCTTATATCTTTAATTTGTATAATGATTTATTTCCCTTATTTGTTTTGAGTTGCTATGCTTCTAAAATTTCAAAAATACCAAAGTAAAAATTGTGTTATTTATTTTTTAAAAATAAATAAAATATTAAAATTATGTTACCGTGGCATGATCGTGTCGGTTAAATTTGTTCTTTATTTTTTATACAGATAGGTCTGCTTGGTGGCGATTTTTAGCTGGCTTCTCCAGTATTGTTCTTTTGTGAACCTTTAGCAATCGCGTAACTTCGCATATTTGCTGCTTTAATTTTTTTTTCCGTCTTAGCGGGAGAGAAAATTCGTTTCGCGACTAATAAAACAAAGAGGAATCCTAAAACAATTGCCATGATAAGGTTTGTTTATTTTATAAAACGAACATCTGATAAAATTTTTGAAAAGATTTTACTGAAATATGCGAAAGTAGGCGTTCTAGCTGGCGTATTAGATTATAGTAAAAGAGAACGAAGAATCTTACTCTTCCTATTTTTTTTTTCTTCCTATCTGTTTTTAGTCTGGTCTGTTCATTTAAAGATTACATTCAGATCATTCTATAAGAAAATATTTGTGTTGTTGTTAATGTGAATAAAGTGATATCGCAAATTTACACGCGCTTAATAATTTTAGTTACAAAATATATTCATTTACACGTGTTTAAAAATTTTAGTGACAAAATGTATTCGTTATTCCGTTTCTCTTAAGGTATATTTTAGTTAATTATAGTAAAGGAAATTACCTGCATTGAATCGAGTTGATAACAAAAGAATCCTCTATGACGAATTGATCTAAATGTGAAAAACTGTTTTGAGAAAATATGATTTAAGACTTGTGTGTTACTCCTCTTTAGGATTACTCTATATGTCACTCAGTCTAAAATGCGAATTTTTTTTCCTTCTCTTTTTAAGAATGGTCAATTATATGAGTTTTTAAATCGAGCGTTCTGCCATATTACGTAAGAGAAATTTATGCATAAAAATTTCATTGTGATGCATTCTTTAAATAATGGGGGAAAAAAAACAAGATGCTTGTAATAATTACGCTTTACTGTAAAATTTCCCATACGTATTTATCGAAAATAAATTTTATTTTATTAAACTTGTTTTCTTTGAGGGGATTCTGCTTTCCCTTTTATTACGGGGAATTAATTATATGAACGCACATTTCTTATGAGTTCTATAAATTATTTCAAAGCAATTATTTTTTTTGAAAAAAAAATAATTATTTAGTAGAAATCTTTTACATTTGTTTTCAACTACGAAAAACTACTCTTTAACAACGAAATTCCTTTTTATTAAAAAGTTATCAATAAGTTTTATCAAAAATTCATCAATAAGTTTCATTAGACACATAGATTTAATTATTATACATGCTACAACATAACAAAAGAACTATCAACTTGAGACTTTTTCGAAATTTAAAATTTTACGCAGCAATACCCTTTTTTTTTCTTTAAAATAAATAAATGAATATTAGTTATGGTTTAGGAATATGGTTAGAAAAAATAAATTTTCTAATTTTTTTTCTTTAATTAGTTTAAATTGTAGCCTAAAATACGCATTTAGGAATTGAATTATTAATTTAGGAAAAAATTTTCTTATAAAACTCTTACAAATAGAAAAAGGATTCGTCCTCTCCCATGTTAATTACGGGGATTAAATTATATCAACGGAATTATCTTATTTATTAATCAATGTTTCGGTTTTTTTTTTTGTTTCATTTTATTCATTGAAATGTACTTAGTTACCAAGTTGTAAGAAAAAATTTTAAATGATAATAATAATAACTTGGGAGAAATCTACAACTTACAGCAAATTTATTTTCAACAATTTTGAAATTTCTTTTTGACAAAGTCCAAAAGCTTTTGGAATTATCTTTTATTAAAGGCTGAAATTTTTAATCTAGTTTAATTTCATTCCCTGAAGGTAAGTTGAAGTAACTGGTAATCAATTAGGTAGTAATATGAATAATTCCAATTACTAGAAGGAATTATATGAATAATTCCAATTACTAGATACTTATTCATATTACTACCTAATCAATTAGGTAGTAATATGAATAATTAGAATTACTAGAATGAAATGTCAAACCGTATTTACCGTGCCACCTTTGATGCTCGTCTCCATATTCTTGTAATTTTGAACTCATCCCAACCCAGTCATCAAGGAAACGTAGTGTAAGCATTGAGACAAAGTCGCCTTCGCCGTGACTTTTTGAATGAAACTACACAGCGTATGCGTTACACGAAGAGGAAAGCCACAAAAATTTAATATGGTTAATAAGACTGCAGTCAAACTCTGCCCTTGATGTTCAAGTTTAAAGCTTTAAATTACTCGTTGTTATCAAATACTACCATAAAGCTCCGTAAAAACTTAAAATTTTCTTGTGTAAATTTAAGGATTTTTTACTTAAAATTTGTGGGGTCAAGTGGTGCTGATATGAAATCAAAATGTAAACTGTAATGATCTCCGATGTATGTTGAATTTGGACAAAAATAAAACTGTTTAATTTAAAAGCATGATTTTGTTTTGTAAGAAAATTTCTAGTATCTAGTAAAAATAAAACCGTTAAAAAAATTAGAACCTTGTATTGCTAATCCCACAATGAATGAAATTGATATGAGAACAGCTTGGGGAACAATTATTCTAAAGTTATTTTAAATGTTACATAAATTAGAAAGCTTCTATAATTAGCTGAAAATATCAGGTACTTTTATTATTCATTTCACTTTAATGTTTTAAGAACTCCGAAATTCGAATTCAAAACATTTTAATTATGGGATGAATTATTTTACTTTACTAAATTGAAATTTATTTTTTATTTATTTTGAAAACTAATAAATTAAATAGTATTTAAACCAGATTAAATTTTATTAATTTTCATTATTACTTTCAAATCCAAAGAACATTATAACGAATTTTGCTCTTTTTATGTATAATATCAGTGAAAGCAACAATATATTTTTTAATGTAGTTAGTTCCTAAAACAATTACATGCAATTTCCATTGATTCTCCTAAACTTCCCCTTCCTCTTTTTTTTTTAATTTTTATACCGAGTCTTTTTTTTCCTTCTTTTTTTAATTAACAAGGCGGCTTTGTTTTTACGTTAGTTTACTTTTTTGTTGTCGGTTTCGCCTTAATTTGCTAAGAAACAAAAATTGGGCGAGAAATTCTGCCTTCCTATGAAAGAAAGTAGCATCTCCACTGCCATCTAACTAAAAATACTGACTTAATATCGTTAGATAAAATATCAGTGATATAAGATATAGGGCAAAATTAATAGACACCACCGACCACAGGGCGACTAAATATAAGAAATGGCAATTAAAAACTATCTGCTAATCGTAACCCAATGGCCACCTTTTTAGTATAACGCAGCGCATGTATATTTTATTATTATTATTTTAATAAATATGGAATCTAGCGTAAAATATCCTCCGTGGTAGACGGATTATGGGTTAGAGTCACCTGGTCGTCATGCTAACTGTGGGAGGTTTTCGTGGTTTTCCTGTAACGCAAATGCAGGTGAGTTCCTTCAAAAAGTCCATCATGAAGGCAAATTTCTCTCAATGCTAGATCCAGGAGATCCATCTCCTGGATGATTGAATTCAAAATAACAAGGTATTGGTAGTCGTAAACTCAAAAATTGGGTCGACTGTTCAACGACGGTCATAAAATAAATAGGAAATTATTATGTGCTTTTTATAAAATACTAAAAATTACCTTATTTCATGCTTGTTACTTAAAATTTTTATTTTAAAAAAGAGAACCTTGGAATGTGTACCATATTTCGAAAAATACTTCAGAAGAAATGCCTCACATTAATAAAAAACTTTTTTTAATCATTTAAAATTTTCAATATTTGTAAAAGTGACAACTCTCAAAATTCTACGACTGACCAGTAACAAAATTTCTGAATTTAGCCCTATAACACTAGAAATCCTGCTTTTCATTTATTTGTTTACATATGAGTGTGGCGATTTTTAAGCGTTTATATTTGAATCAATAAGGTTGTTACAAAGGAATTTTAACATCGACCTGGCCGAATGCCGCTCAGATAATGAAGAATACTGAAAATTTTATTTTTTCATCAACTCTATTGTCGATTTATTTATTGTACTACGAAATGTAATCCATTATGAATTAAGAATACATTACCGTCACGTAATTGCGTTAAATGCCGTAAAAGTTTGACCAAAGAATACCCTTAAATGACGCAATATAAAATACTGCTTGATAGAGATCCAAAGAGTAGTTAGATATGTGAGCTTTCGATTTTCATTTACAGACCTCTATTGTTTCAATAAAAATGCAATAAGATAAGAAGAGATTATCGGGTTCACTGCCATATCAAAGTAAGAGCGTCGTAATTTTTAAAAACTGCACAGGTTGGCATGAAAGATTCCGCTGATTGGTTTGAGATTATTTGTCACCTGCTTCTAACTTGGCGGAGTATATATGGTATTTTCTATTGTTTAAGATTAATTCCATGTTTTAACTTTCATTTGTTTATTTTGAGTCAGGAGAAAAAATTTAGTCAAAGAATAAAATAGAGCGCTTCATCAAACTGTAATCGCAACTGGCTGTGTGTCTTGAACTTCGTGTATGTATTCCAACCGATATAGTCAGTCGTTTCTGAAATGTACTTGACTTAGTAATTGCCTGGTGAATGCGGCAGTCTTAATTTACTACTGTTTTTTTTTAGAATATAATGCCTTTAAAAAAATTATTTAAAAAAAGGCACAGTTTAGAAACTTCTTTAGTTCTAGAAACAAATAAGGAACTAGAAAAACTGAAATCGTCTTTAGACGCTTCTCGAAGAATCGAAACAATAAAATCTCAATCAGAAAGCAACTTAATGGATTCCAATCTTGATACAGATGTTTCAGACCTTCATACTGAATCAGTGTTATTTTCTTCTTCAGCAGCAGAAGATATTTCTAACAAGTATGAGTACATAGAACAGGAAGGTGAGGAGAGTTTAGTTTATGAAAAAGATTCTTACTCTGATATAAGAAGGCAAAGTGCACCTGTAGAATCTCTCGAAAGAACTAAAGTGAAGACAGTAAAATCAGCATCATGCAATGAATCTACATCGCAGCAATCTACATCGGAAATTCCGACGACTAGACGCAGAAAATGTGTTAGCGAAAGCCAGGCCGATGATATAGATTCGAAAAATAAAAATGGCGGCCGGACATTTCAGTTAGATGAAGGTAAATTAGAAGATATGATTGGACGGTGCATCAATCGAATAATTAAAGAATCAATACTAACTGCGGTGAAAAATGTAAATGTGGATGGTATCCGTGAAGAAATCATTGAGAACATTTCTAATCAAAGACATGGTTCCTCAGATGATGGTACAAGTAATGAGGAAAAATACTTTAATGATTTAGATAAATATGTTGAACTTGATGAGTCTAATTTAAATTACAGAAGTGAAGAAAACGAAGAATTAGATAATTCAGCCTATGAGGAGGAAACTGCAATTGTTGCTAACTCTGAGGACAAAAGGACTGAAACTCACAGCTTGGGAGGATATTCAACTGATCTCGAGGAATCTATAAGCTTGCATTCAACAGATATTGATATAAAAGATCAGGCATCTGCTAGTAAAAGTTTTTCAGAAAAAGCAAATAAACATGAAACAATTCCCCCAAACTCTGTTACATCTAATAAAGAAGCAGTGAACGATAGCGAAAAATCAGCATTTTTTACTTCAGAACCTGCAGCAGCAGTTGATCTTGAATCGGAAGCAACTAACGTGGCACATGAAACAAAAATTGTAGAACATTTTCTTAAAAATGATCCAATCAACTCAAGTGTCAAAACTTCAGAACAAGACGATGAAAATGTAAATACTAACAGTGAAAACGAACACAAAATCCAAAGTTCAGCAGATAAAATTGAAATAGCAAAAGAACTAAATTCCGAAAATGACAATAGTGAGAAAATTAATAATTTTTTAAATGATGAATCAAATCTCATGATAGTAGATGATGCGGATTCCTTTCCTTTACCAAAAATAGCATTAGCTCATCGGGATTCAAATGATTCTGTTTTAGATTCTGTAGAAAGCTTACCTCCTCCGGAAACAATTATTGGCGAAGAGAAAAAAACAAACAATTGGAAGGTTGGATACTTACGAGTAAAACTCCCTCATAAAGAAAGAGGGAAAAAAGCACAACTAAAGGTAAATTTCTCTTTTAATTTGCATTTTGTAATTTCATTGAAAGTAAATATGCAATTAGTGATTTAATCATAATTTTTTCATATAGTTAGGTATAAAAACTTTGATGAATAATATTTAACCCATTGATAATGTAATAATAAGTTAATACAGACGGATATTTGGCTAATTTTAATTATACTTGCTACATGAACGAAATAAAATTCTATTTATGAAAATTATACATGTAAAAAAATCTTTCCTCAAGCGTGCTCGTGCTAGTAATTAATTTAATTCTTGGGAGAGTTTATTTTGAGCATCCCAATTGGCTTAATATTTCTCACTATTTAAGTTCGTTAAAGCAAAAAGATCATTCAAATAAAGAAAATTTAGATACGAAACTGGTCCGGATTTTTTGTTGTTTTTTTCTTAGCGACACATTTAAGCAAATCAATTGTTCAGCGTAGACCACCCATCGATGTTGGCGAGGTCATATTACGTCTACAGGTTACCATTGAGGGGATTTAATTATCGACCATGCCAACCTTCATCTATCAAAAGGTAGAATTGATTGAATCAAGTTAGATTGAATCAAGATTGAATCAAGTTAACATGTGTTATATACTAATGAATTGGTATTTAATATTTATAATGGTGGATACGACACACAAATACGATTGTATTCAGGTGAAAACGCATGCAATGGTGTCGCATCATGTTGAAACCATATACGGAAAATGAAAGCGCGAGAAAAGCGGACCATGCATTGGTATGTGTTTTCCCTATGTAGGACTAAAATTATGTCTAGTAAACAGTAAGCTTTAAGGTGACGTAAAAAAGCAATCAATTCAAATTATATACGTCTCACCCAACGTAGGACTACTGTAATTAAAATGATTCTTAAAATGTGTAGTCGCTGTACTGTATATAGTGTTAAATTTTGAACTATACATATCGTGAAGATTCTGCCTATATCCATCGTAATGCTAGTGATTCATACCGCTGTCCATTTTTTATTGCTTAAACATAGTATATATACATCGAATACATCCCACAAAGGTCATTCCTAAATTCACCAAAGGGCTAGTGACGCACTCCCATTTTTACTGTTTAAAAAGTGGTATACTTTAAAGTCCTTTAAAACCGTGTCTAAATCTCCATGTCTAATCTATTAATCTATCTATTATTAATCCATGTCTTATCTTATTGCTAGTGATGCACAGTACTGTCCGATTGCTTAGCGATTAAACATGGTATGATATGTACTATTACACCTCAAATACATCTCATAAGGATCATGCCTTATACCCATCATAGGGATAGTGATATACAGCACTGTCCAACTTAAATGATTGAACCCGTTATGTAATTTTGTATATTAAATGCATCCTAAAGACCCTGCCTGAACTCATCATAGGTCTGAAGATTCAAACCCTTCGTCCAACTTTTCATTGGCCCGGTATTATAGTTGCGGACATTTTACGTAAATCATCTTTACTTACTATTATACAGTACAGTTACTTCATTGTGACTACCATCTGTTTCGACATCCATGTGAAATAATCAATTACAAATGGCAGGTTGCAACCCAATGCAGTGAAGATGTGTTCAAGAGAACTGGAAAATATTGCAACCGTATACGCCAACATCCATCTGTCCGATGGAACATAAAACGTGATTCATCAGAAAAAGAAAACTGCTGTCGTCTCTCAGTGGGCATAATGCAGACACGGAGCGACTCACCCTACTTCCGAAAGGGCATGATCATTTGCTTTCGGGCCAAGGGTGGAAGCATTTCTAAACCGTTCACGTGCCGCCGTGGTGAAAGTATAGCGTGCATGGCAAAATGGTACAAACTAAAATCAGCTACAAGGCAAATGTGGTGCATCGCGAGCCATAGGTAACAGAGGTGAACGATGATTGCGGCGATGCGTCTAGGCAAATAGACGCAACCGTTGAACGTTGGACCTCCCAGATGAATCAAGGGGCGACCAAGAGTTTCTTCTCAACAAATGCTGCTGCGTATGGAACTCTGCAGTAGACACCTTGTAAATGCATCTATGCTGATTGCTTTTTATCTGTGCCGAAGGCTGGAATATCCACTTCAGTACCGCAATTGGAAGCCCACTGAGTGGCAACAGTTTTCTTTTTCAGATGAATCACGTTTTATGCTCCATCGGACAGATGGATGTTGGCGTATACGGTGTGAAACGTCTGAAATCAAACATCCAACAACAACTGCCAAATAGGTCAAAGTTGGAGGAAGGGGTATTATGGTCTGGAGAATGTTTTCGTGGCATTCTCTGGGTGCTCTTATCATTGTGGAAGGCGCGATCAACACATGTTCATCAACACAAGTACGCATCTGTCTTTGCAGACCATGTCCATCCCTACATGTGAATTGTTTTTCCTCAGAATGATGGCATCTGCCAGAAGAACAATGCGACGCGTCATATAACACACAGTGTACGTGCGGTTTGGTTTGAAGAGCATCAAGGTGAGTTTACCATGTTCCTTTGAACACATAACTCACCAAACTTACACCTAATTGAGAATCTGTGGTACCCTTTTGATCGGGTTGTTCGAGCTATGGATCCTCAACCACGTAGTTAGAGCAGCTGGCCACGGCACTGGAGTTGGTATGGCACAGCATCCCAGTGAACACTTTCACGAATTTAAATGACTGTCTTCCTGTACGTCTCGCAGCGGTCCGCTCTATGAAAGGTGGTTATTCTGGCTTCTGACAGGTGGTCACATTCTGACAGGTGGTCTGAACTGTGTATAATAAAATGTTTTACTGGAAAAGATAATTATAAAGATAAATAAAATGAAATAATAACTTTCAAACGAGAAAATTAAATTCAAAGGTAAAATTACCTCCTTACTAGAAAATTCGGAAAAGGGGAAAAACTCACAAAATTTTATTTATTTATTAAACTTACTACTCGTATATAAAATGTTCATTTTTAATAGTTATTTGTAACTTGAATTCCCCCCTCCATGTTTTCCAAAAAGAGCAATGAAAAGAATACTAAATAAGCTACGATTATTATAATTATTTTAAATTCTAACTTACAATAATTAACACATCCTTAAGTGCATCTACAGTGAGTAAAAAAGAAACGGACCACTTTTATACGGACTTAATTTTAAGGGCTCGAGGGGAGATCTCAAATATGTTAACCCTTTGCTTACAACTGATACAATAGAGCCGTGATAGCTCAGGGGATACAGCATTCATCTTCCAATGAGATGAACCGGTTCGAATCCTAGCGATGGCTGGTCGATACGAATTCAGCATCCGGTTTGCACCGACCATAGTGCTGACGTAAAATATCCTCAGTGGTAGACGAATCATGAGTTAGAGTCCCCTTACTGTCAGGCTAACCATGGGAGGTTTTCGTGGTTTCTCTCTCTATGTAACGCAAATGCGGGTAAGTTCCATCGAAAAATCTTCCATTAAAGAAAATTTCTGCAAATACGTGATCAGTGTCTTCTGGATTGGGTTCAAAATTACAAGGCTACGGTGTTGAATATTAGTAGTCGTAAACTCAAAAAATTGGCGGTTATAAAATAAAATGATAAAATTGGTACAATAAGTAGATCAGAATGGCTTTCTAAGTGCCATAATAAGTGTTAATTTATTAATGCAGGTGATATTTTAAATTGGAAATCAGACACAAAAACGCACTTTCTCTGAATAAACATACTTTTATTTTTTTGCGGATTTGGATTTGTGAAAAATATAGGAGATCGATCCAAAATTTTGACCCCTTAATGCTAATTTTATTTTTTGAGTATGCNTTTCCCTATGTAGGACTAAAATTATGTCTAGTAAACAGTAAGCTTTAAGGTGACGTAAAAAAGCAATCAATTCAAATTATATACGTCTCACCCAACGTAGGACTACTGTAATTAAAATGATTCTTAAAATGTGTAGTCGCTGTACTGTATATAGTGTTAAATTTTGAACTATACATATCGTGAAGATTCTGCCTATATCCATCGTAATGCTAGTGATTCATACCGCTGTCCATTTTTTATTGCTTAAACATAGTATATATACATCGAATACATCCCACAAAGGTCATTCCTAAATTCACCAAAGGGCTAGTGACGCACTCCCATTTTTACTGTTTAAAAAGTGGTATACTTTAAAGTCCTTTAAAACCGTGTCTAAATCTCCATGTCTAATCTATTAATCTATCTATTATTAATCCATGTCTTATCTTATTGCTAGTGATGCACAGTACTGTCCGATTGCTTAGCGATTAAACATGGTATGATATGTACTATTACACCTCAAATACATCTCATAAGGATCATGCCTTATACCCATCATAGGGATAGTGATATACAGCACTGTCCAACTTAAATGATTGAACCCGTTATGTAATTTTGTATATTAAATGCATCCTAAAGACCCTGCCTGAACTCATCATAGGTCTGAAGATTCAAACCCTTCGTCCAACTTTTCATTGGCCCGGTATTATAGTTGCGGACATTTTACGTAAATCATCTTCACTTACTATTACACAGTACAGTCACATCATTGTGACCACCATCTGTTTCGTCATCCATGTGAAATAACCAATCACAAAAGGCAGGTTGCAACTAATTGCAGTGAAGTGTGTTCAAGAGAATTGGAACAGATTGCAACCATTGGCGTAATGCAGACGCGGAGTGATTCACCCTACTTCCAAAAGGGCATGATCATTTGCTGTCAGGCCAAGGGTGGAAGCGTTTCCAAAATGCCTAATTTTCTAAGCCGTTCACGTGCCGCCGTGGTAAAAGTATACCGTGCATGGCAAAATGGTACAAACTGAAATCAGCTACGGGGCAAATGTGGTGCATCACGAGCCATAGGTACATTGGGAGGTGAACGATGATTGCGGCGATGCGTCTAGGCAAATAGACATGCAACCGTTGAACGATGGACCTCCCAGATGAATCAAGGGGCGGGCAAGAGTTTCTTCTCAACGACAGTTCAGCAAATGTTGCTGCGTATGGAACTCTGCAGTAGA